TGTCTGCTTTCTTTTCCTCTTTTCCTCCCCCACCCACCCCTCACACCCCAATTACATTCTCATCTTCCTGCCCTGCACTCAGTGTATTATGACTAATTAACATGGGAAGAACTGAGCAATAATTTCTTCACCTCCTCCTCATTTTTACACAAGTCTAAATAAGGCTGTTATGATTGGAAGGTGATACAAATGCTCTGGCCCTACCCTGAGATAAAATACATGGCAACCTCAAAATTCATTTAATTTTTCTTTGACATTTCCTTTCCAGAAATCAAGGGATTTCCCCATTCACTTTATATAGGACCAAATCTGAAATCTGTGGGCAAGTCATGTATATATTTTAGTAGCAAGTGTTGATTAGTCTCTGGTCTTTTATCTAGTTTTAATGTAAAAAGATACTGAAATTCATGAGAGGATAAAACAAAAGTAATAGACATCTGGATTTAGAATGTGTCTTATAATTATTTTGTTATGTGTTTACCTTTTGAATACATATGCCCTATGAAAGTTAATGTTGAATGGGCTACTTTCTTAGGCATAGAACATTGGCTCAGACATACTAGAAACATGCTAGATAAGAGAGAGACTAAATTAAGACTTGTTAAGTAATATAAATAATCTATTTATCCATATTTAATCCATAAGGATAATAGAGAGTTGAGTGATGCATAGAATTAAGGCAATATGAGTTCAATATTGTATCATTAGACCTGTGTAAGCACAGAGTTTCACCTGGTATACCTGGTGAGTGAATTTATGACTCACAAAGCATTCTGAGGCTGCTCTGAACATGCAGTCTCTCTTGGCCTGCTTTTGGCATGACAGGTCTTGTGAAGGTTATTGGCTTTCTCAAATAGCTGAATCACAGAACACTGGCATCTATGTTGGGGTTGTCACTTGGTAACAAGGTAAATACTCTGACAGAGGTGTTACACTCCCTAACAAAGTTTGTTTCATATGCAGACTTTCTCACACTCCTGGCTGGCCTAGGGCCACATCTTAAAATAGGTAAGCTTTACTTTCTGCTGTCAGGGATTGCCAGCCCTTCCCTGCTGTGGTGGAGGCCCACCCTCATCCAAAGCCTTCTCATTGTTTTGCTTACCCTCTGCACACACCCCGAAACTCCATCCTTGACCACCCTTCTTCCCTCAAACCCTCTTCACAGGAATTTAGATACACGTAATATTTCTCCCAGAGCCATTAACATGCTAAGTTTTATTGCTAATCATAAAGAAGAAGTCTATTCTCTGAAAAATATTTTAAGAAGTGTATATTGGGTAATATTTTAGACAATGTGCCCCCAAATTTACACCATAGAGATGACTGCCTTCGCCTACATTTGGTCTTGCTCAGAGCAGCATCTTAAGTTTGTAGGATGAGCCATGCTATCTAAATACTAAGACTAATTAATATTAATGATCTTTGTAAATAATTAACAGTATTTCAATATGTATAATATAAATTCATCAATAAAACGAGGTTATTATATAGAATTTTATGTCAAAACAGGATTTCATTTTGACCTACAATCATATCATATTTGGAATAATTTATCAACTGATGCAGAGATGATGCATTTTCCTAATGTGTACATTCCCCACCTCACCGTAAATCATGTAAAATGGGAAATTATGGAAGTACTGGTGGTTGCTCATTCAAAGTGGAGAGGAGAATAGAAAGGCAGTACAATGTGCTAAACATCAATAAGTCATTCAGCAAACATTTAGTGAGCACCTAGTATGAGCCAAGTGCCTGTTCTGGCTACTGGGGAAGACCATCATGGTCTTAGAATTCATGGCTGTTACCATCTAACAGGAGAGATGGACACTGAAAAGTTAACCCCAGAGGCTATTCAATCACAGTTGGATAGGTGTTTCAAAGAAAAAAGCACAGCGTATGCAAGTCTCAAATTAGAATTTACATAACTTTACTTATAAAGTTGTTTTCTTCCTGTGGATATTTCTCCTTTATATTAATACATGATTCACTATAGTGTTGGCAGGGAGAAAAAATTCTCAATATAGATACTTTGATAATGTATTTTTGATTTTAAAAGTAATGTATGCTCCTTATGGAAAATTTGGGAAAATTTTAAGGTATAAAGAAAGAAAATGATAAATCCAGAAAGTTACCACCCAGAGATAAACACTGTTTATGTTTTGGCATATTTGCCTCATCATTTGTCTTCTGCACATATTTTATTTATATACTTGAGATCGTACTGCCTGTATAATTTTATTTCCTTACTTTCTCCACTTATGATTATCTCATACACATTTTCCTGCAAGATGTGTTCTCAGCCTCCATACAAGTGATCTGCCCTATAATTGTTGCACACACTATTTCAGGTTATTTAAGAAAACTCAATCTATGTATTTTATAATGATAAGGAACACTTGGTGGTGGCTGTGCTATTTCTTCTAGTTGACCTAATGGTAGTGATACTGCTGTGGTCTCCTCACAGCTTTCTGACCTATTAGGTTCTTTCTCTTTGGATTTCCAGATTTTTCTTCTGAAAACACCACTTTTTACAGGTTACTTCCCTAGAGTTTACCATAGACTGCCTTTAGAGTAGATCTTAACTCAGTCTGGTATCGGAGGCCCCGCTATAAGATCTGTCTTCTTTCCTCTCCTATCCCCTATAGCATCATCTCTGCTCCAGGCAGACCTCAGAAAGCTATTCAATGATCTTTGCTTCTCACTTTTGTAATTTTAGTGCCTTACACTTTCTGTCTTCCATTTTTTTCATTTATCTCAACCCTTTCCTCAAGGCCCTAATACATGTTATTAATCCTTTCCCCTCCTTCTATGACACCTACAATTAGCACCACTCAAGTTGAGTTTTAATTATATACCGTCTTTCAGAACTTTCTCTAGTTGTTTGATGTGTGAAAGCCTTATCTTGTTATAATGAGCTTGTAAAACTGTTCTAATCTAGACAGGAAGGCAACTCCCAAATCTACTGTTGGCAACTACCAACAGTCACTCTGTTATGTATTAACTAGCACTATACATCCCTTACTATATGAAGCACTAAATGCTAAGATCTTAACAGGCATTATCTTATGTTTTTTTCACAAAAGTCTGTGTTATTTAGGAATGCTTTTGGCTGCAAATGACAGAGGATCCAAAGTGTCTAATAACGTTTAAACAATACAGACTTAGATTTTGTCTTATATAACAACAACAGCAAGAACATAAACTGGAGGTAGGTCGCTTATGGCATGGGCTTAGGGACTTTCAGATGTCACGGCTCTTTTTTGGCAGCTCTGGAAATTTCTTAGCCTTCCTGTATGGTTGCAATATGGCTGTAACATCTTTCAGCATCATATTCTAACACAACCTTGCTCAAAGTCGAGTAAGAGGAGATGTTATAGAAAACAGAGCAGAGTTTCTCCTTGTATGCTTCCTTCCTAACAGGAAAGAAAAATGTTCCTAAACATTCTCCAACAAACTTATCCCATGCTCATTGCCCAGTACTGAGTTTATATGTCCACCCCCCAGACCAGTAGCAAGGCTCTCCTTCCCTGAGATAAGGAATCTCTGAATAATACCTGAAGAAAGTAGAAATTAGGAAGAAGCATAGCAGAAAGAGTTGATTTGGAGTAGGCAATCAACAATATCAGCTGTGCAGTGTTAATAGGAAATCAAAAGCTACAGTAGCTGAGAAATGTGTGCAAGATTATTCAACTAATATAGTAAGTGGCAGAAAGAGGATTCAAATGAGATCTTCAAATTCTCTAAGAATCACATCCTTGCTTACCACACTATAACGCCTCTCTTGAGAGTGTTAGCATCTTACTCAATTCGTCATAAAGTATTTAGTAAGAATCCACTTGATGCTCAGCACTATTCTTGCTGCTGAAGTGAAACCAAGTGTGTAATATCTTTAGAGATGGAAGCCTAATTCAAATGCAACAGCCAGAATATACAAGATTATTACATTGCACACTCAACTCTAAAATGGGCAGTTCTATGTTGAAGATCACTGAGGATTTAGGGGTCAGACTGGACTCATTGGAAGTTACGGGGTGTGAGTCAAACCTCATAGATTTGAATCAGTTGAAAGAAGGAAGGATGATGTTTCTCTTGAGAAGAGTAACTTGAATGAAAGCAATATGGTGGGAGACAGCAGAGCCTGAAAAGGAAGTGAAGCAAAGCGTGGCTGGAGTTCTAGGTACATTTGATATCTGTCCCAAATCGTTGAACTGCCAATGTGTGGTTAAAAAACAGTCGAACAGATTGGTCACACAGACATTGCCAGGAGGTGGGGGGAGCACTCTCCCAGGGGACTGATGAAAAGGGAGAAGAGACAGAGACCACCAGGCTACTGAAGTCTCACTGGAAAGTAGTGCGTGCCAAGGGATGTTAAAACTTCTATGAGTCAGTGGCTCTTATTAAAAGATAAGATTTATTTTCTAATCCAGGGCAAATGAAAAGTTCTTTGGGTGTGGCTTGTGACAGGCTGTTAGGGTGGAACCCAGGATTATTTAGGAAATCATAGCTTGAGAAAATGTATGACAGTTTAAAATAGAGAATTTCTAAGATGGAAAATAGTGTTTTGTTCTTCCTTCCCTTACCTAAAAGGTCACTTGGATCTGCCTAGACTCAAAAGAGAGAAAAGATCCCATTGTCTTTATATATCGGAAAACACCCTCTCAGACCATGGCTGTTCAAAGGTAGAAGGAGTATGGTGGAATTTGAAACTATCCTTGAGGTATAGCTGGGAAAGTCTTGAAACTGGGCTTGATGAGTTTTAGCTAACCTTGACAGGCATATGTAGATATTGACAAATTCTTAAGTTTCTGAGTGATGTCATCCTCCCAACAAATTTCTCAAACTATGCCTTTACAAATAGGCATTTCTCTTCTAATGATGTCTTCCTGAGTAAAATGTTGAATCACTCAAAGGATATAGATTAAAAAAGAGAGAGAGAGAAATGCTGTGTGGGAGGGGCAGAGCTTTATAAACCCAGTCATTACCATGTCTGATCTGTAACTACTCTCAGAGGAGCAGTTCTTGTAAGACGGCAACTCAGAGAATAACAAGGTATTTCAGTGATTTCTATGGCCTTCTCTATGGGAAATATGATTTCATATTTTCTCCTCTTTTATGTTGGTATTAATATATTGAAAATTAAGTTGTGGGATGTTTGTAGAGGGTGAGTAAAAATTAAGTGTTTTCTTGTTTAGTTGTTTGTTTAATTGAACTAAAATATTTTAGTTCAAGATTTGCATTAAATTTATAGTAAGGCTTAATTTTGAAACTCAGAAGCTGGCCAATGCTTTATGTAGCATTAACCAAAACAAAATGTACATTCAAATTGTGATGTCAACTTTATTCAATAGGTTAAAAATATATATATTCTATACTAGCTACTGTTTTGATGCTGAATGTGATGGAACTAGCTAGATAAACTAAAATATTTTCATGTAAGCAATTGAAAGTAATATATACATTGTATATTAGTAAAAGGAAAAAAGGACTCAATTTGCTAAATAAACTATCAGAAACTGCAGAAATTAAGCAGCAATTTGGGTTGGGGCAATGTAAAATAAGAACTATTTGTTGAATTTAGTTCAATAATGGATCAATTTAATAGAAGTGAAAAATCAGCCAAACTAGCTATTGGGTTGACTCAAGTATGGTTCAATAAATAATTTAATACCCCATAAGGAGACACCTTATTCATTATGAAAGTCATCAACTATATTGTTTTTAATTCTGTGGGTGGAAAATGTAGCAAATTTTGATGAAATGTTTCCTTGAAACTATTGTTTTATCTTGGTTCTCATTGATTTTTGTGGTCAATTTCAAAATATTTGCACTGTCTAGTTGCAAAAATAAAAGGTGGCTTTAAATGCCACAGAAAACTCCAATCTAACATCCAGGGCCAATGGGAAGAGCTATAGTGGCAGTGTTCCTGGTGGCTCCTCCCAAATTCTTCATTACCTGTGCCAAGTTTCAGTGGTGCATTTGTCAACTTGTGTTGCAGGAAGCAACACAAGCATCAGGGAGCCCAGCCCTGCGTATGATTTTCATTCCTATTCCATTGCCACTTTTCCCAAAGATAATATTAAACATTAATTAGGAGCATAATATTTGGAAGTTGGTGAAGTTGCATAACTTATTATAGTGTTAAGAAATTACAGGTGTACCTGTTCTGGAAGGCTGTGGTAATTCACATCAATCCATGAATTTAATTTTGCATTGCCTTGCTAGGTATTTATCCAACATAGGCATGGCCTTGTCTGAGAATTAGGAAACACTGTATATGCATGCTTCATAGATTTCTAAAATTAAGGACATTTCAAAACTTATTAATATTAGAAAATTTTATAGGAAAAGCACTAGACTTGGAATCAGAAGGCAGGGATCAGGTCTAGACTTTTGAAATGAACTAGCTGTGCAATCTACATCTTCAAGTTTTCATTTGTATAACAGAAATTGCTAAGCTTCACTAGACAAGTAACTATGCAAATTAAGCAAAAAGGGAGCTGAAGGAATTCTGTAACTGCTATATAGACATCAAATATTTTTATGTTCAATGCAATTAATTATACCTCACTTAAAAATAGAATTCAGTCTTTTAAAAAGAGTAAATGCATCTAGGAAAATTTTATTCTGTTCTTACTAATTTTTGTTTTATCAAGTTACCTTGTTAACAGCTCTTTCTGATAGTTTGTTTTAACACTTCAATTTTTCTTAGTGTCAAAGTGACTATGCAGATGGTAACAAAGAACTAGGTATGGGAGAAGTCTAAATTTACTTTTCTTGGCTCTTATCTCTTATTTACATTTTTTACATAGGTATAGAGAAATATTTTATTCATATTATTAATATTCAGTTATTTTCCAAAAGGTATTGAGATAATTAATTTTGAAAAACCCATATAATAAGTCTAATTAGCTGTAAAGACAATTTTAAATTGTGGAGGGAAGAGGAAACACATTTCTGATCCACTCAAGTTGATCTAGTGCCTATGATGAAGCAAAAGAAAAGAAATAGTGATTTTTTAAACTTACTAAGCCTTCTAGTAGGATTATAAAGTCGCTGTTTTCTCTATTTATTTCTCTCTTTCTAGTATTTCTCACACTTTAACTTACTTAAACTCTTCCACATCATAGTGAATGTATATATCCACAAGTGAGGCAGTGTGGGACATTCAAGAGTGGACTTCCGTAGGCAGACTTGAGCTTGAACCCCTGGTCTGTTACATATGAGCTGTGTGACCTTATACAAATTACTTAACCTCTCCGAGCATATGGATATAATCTATCATTGGGAAAATATGTTTGAGGAATTAATGAGACGTGGCTCATAAGACCATTATTTTATTGTATAAGCCAATACTGCTATATTAAAGACAGAAACAGGAGTTTTCATGGTTTTGCCCTGAAGGAATGTGTGAACTCAATAGTTCACTTATTAAAGGCTGCTATCATGGGAGAGCTCTCAAATCTCCAGTAGGGATGTTTTCCAGGAAGGCTTCCCAGTATCTCAAAATCTGTGAGCTTCCCTGTGTCTTGAAAGGCAAGGTAAGGCAAATAGGGCCCACAGGATGGGAGCCGGAGACATTGCGTGCCCTTTGCCCAGAGATGCGCCCCAGTGGTTATAAACAACCTGTTTTGTAGAGATGGGCTTCCTGCTCTCTCTTGTCTGTCTACCTTTAAGTCCACAATAACTAGATCAAAGAAGCATAGAGTCACTATACCTTTTTTGTTATACCTTTGTTAATTGACAACTACCTCTTATAACTTAGAAGTTAGTCCCTGAAAGATTCTGTACCTGTTTGTTCACCTAGATAGATTAGGAGCCTTTTGAGAGGACTTTTGACCCCAACCCACTACCTGTATCCCCTAGCAGCTGCATTCCCTGATTTGCAAATATGTCACCCTGACAACTGGTAATTGATATCTGTGATTATAAAAGCTTGTATGAATCTAACCATATTGTTGGACGTTCATGGAGATACGTCCAGTCTCCTGAGTAACTCCGCTGTTATATCTGAGCTTTTTTATATAAAACTATAAACTATACCTTAGTCTCTGTGTATTCTTTTATTCTCTCTATTTCCTATCAATTTCCTTATCCTCTGTAGTGACCCCTATCTTAGGGACCTGGCTCTGCAGGGAGAAGCAGCTGATCTCCTTGCGGGCCTGCCTCAACTACTCTCCCCCGCAATCTATAAAACAGAGACAAACATATTTGCCTCATACAGATCTTATGAAGATTAAATCAGGAGACAAAAGGAGGTAGGAGAGTTTCAGGAATAAATTTTACTTAAATTACTATATTTGTTTTGGTAAAGTACAATCAGGTCATATTTAAAATGAGAAATGTTGACACACATTCCAATTACTTTCTTAAAAAAAGAAGAGTTCTTATAGATTAGAGAAATAATTGACGGCTTATCCTTGTTGGGAACCCCTGCTAAGTCAGACCATGGCTATAGACAATCAAGACAACAGCTACATAACATGCTTCATCTTGGGGGACTTTCCCAAGCCACTCCCCAGTTTTGGGAAGCCACTGTCACAAGGAGATTTCCTGAGGGATGATGAGTGTCAATGTTGTTTGGTATATTTATATATTTTGTTAATTATAAGGTATGTCTCAAGCTATGATGAAAACAAAACATACAGCTGGAAAGATGAGCATTGGCCAGTACCAACAATACACACACACACACACACACACACACACACACACACACACACCCCTTGGGTGTGTCCAAACATTCAGTTGCATGTAGAGCTTTAGGTCATGGAACATGTGTCTGTCATTTATTTTCAGATAGTTTGTGTATGTATGTGATTCATATAAGTGGGATTATCCCTGCAGTCCTGCCTGGCATTGACTTCCCACATGGGAGGATGGGGTGTCAGAAAGGGGGCCCTTCTAGTACTCCAGTAATGAACTCCCCAACTTAGGAAGTCCTTTTACAGCAAGGCTGTGGTATATGTAGTATGTGTAGGACAGGAATTTGGGAGTAGGATCTGGGTGAAGTATAAACCCTCAGACAATGAGTCTGATCCACTTCTAGAATAGCAGGTAACTTGAAAGGAGATTGATCATCTCAACTGGAGCCAAGAAAAATGTGTATAAATGTGGCGTATACTTGGATATATGTGTATCCGTGTGTGTGTGTGTGTGTGTGTGTGTCTGTGTGTGGTATGGGGTGTGCAGTGTGTTGGTGCAGCACAGAGGTTGAGAGCATGACCCCACCTGACTTTAATTCCTACTCTTGCTACTATTTTTCATTACTGCTGTTATTATCATTGTTATTATATGTAACAATAGAATGCCACTACTCATCTTATAACTGTTCTCTGTATGTTAGGATATAGTGTCTCATGCAAAATGTAAATGTGGACCTCTTGTTTAAAACTATGAAGAATTTCAAGACAGTGATAGGAGAACTAAGCATAGGGCCCTTTATAGTTATGCAGATCACATGACCATGAAAATTTCCTTGCTCTACCTCACATTGTCCCATGAGGAAGAACAGAGAGGGAACCTCAACCCTATATAGGGTACAGCCTGTTCTAATCTGCTGACCTCACCCAAATGTTACATCATCTTTTATAAAGTTGTTTTTTTCTTCTTCACTTTCCTTCTAGATTGAAACAATGGCAGACCTTTATGTGGCAAATACAATCTTTGCCCTCAATTTCTTCAAGCATCTGGCACAACTGAGCCCCACCCAGAACCTCTTCTTCTCTCCATGGAGCATTTCATCCACCATGGCCATGGTCTACATGGGCTCCAGGGGCAACACCGAAGACCAGATGGCCAAGGTGAGTTTGAGTTAAAGCTCCATATTAGGACTGAGTGGTTCCTAAACTGAATTGTAGAATTGCTCTTATTTTATGCTCAGGACATTTTGACTAATGAGGTCAGCAATCATCAGCTGGTGCTAACAAAGCACCAGCTCTTACAACATGAATTCCTTAGACTCAAATCTGTAAAACAGCTAAACCACAAAAACCCTCAACTGTGGATGCCGAAGGTATATAGGAGTTGAATAGCCTGTAAATAGTTAATGGTGACAGCATCATACATTTTAATAATATAATGTTCTTACTTTTCACACTGAGTGTTTTGCACCCATTATCTCATTCAGTTTTAAGATAGATATCACTTTATAGATGAGAACACTGGCAGTATGCGTGAAGCCTCCACTGTTTCCTAACTAATAGCTCAGGCTTCTCATTGCTCTGCCACCATGGTGTGTTTGCTCCCAGTTTCTATGAAAAAATTACTCCTAATGATGTGAAGAATGTGTTGCAAAAAGAAAACAATGTACCAGGGCTGTGTTGACTACATTCACAGAGATGCATGAATAGTGATGTAGCTTCAGACGACCTCATCATATTATCAAGCCCATGAGGTCCTGTCAACAAAATAGAGCTCGGCACTGTGTGTGGCCAGTGTTCAGAATCAAGGTGGACAGGGTGTGGAACAGCAATGCGATGCATTTCTGTATCAAGGTCTTTCCCTTCCTTTCTTGGTGAATGGACACAGACCCAGGCAGTGAACATTTCTACTAAGTCTGGGGCCTTGAAAATATGCTGAACTCATACATTGCACACTGTAATAGTGTTAGGGCTTTTGTTCAGCATATGTAAAATTCTTGTGACCCATGTTATTTCCTAGGTCAGTGACCTGGACATGGTCATAATATAATTAAAATTCCTTTGCATTCACACACACACAAATATTAAAATTGAATGCTTTAAGTACAAACACTCATTGTGCTTTTGGTCACACCAAAATGCCACCAGCTGGTTTATAGTTTCCCATGAGAATTGTACCTGAGTACATACACATGGTTTCCAGGCACACAGTGATCCATGAAAGCTGGGCCTCATTCAAAGTTTGAAGTTTCACAGAGAGAACATTGGCCAATCTCACTGCAGGAAGACAGGGGATGGATGAATCACTCTCTGTGTTTGTGACAGTTTAAACATGGAGACTTACAACAAACTTCAGTTGCTCAACTCTCCGATGCCAGCAGCATTTTCCAATACTCCTTCTTCTTTATTATTATTATTAGTTTTTGCTTTAAAAAATAAAGATAGTAAACTGCCATGAAAACTTCAGAAAACATCAAGGTCTTAAATTATTTTTAATGTAAATGAATCAGAAGCAATATATTTTGAGGGCAAATGCTAAGTAAAGTTCTCTGGGTTGTTAAAGTAAAAAACTTGATTGTGATACTAAAGGAAAATTAACTTATTGGTCACTCTAGACATGAGATAGATTTTCTGTATCTAGAAAGTGCTTTAAGCACTATAGGCTATGCAAGGATTTTATATAGGCTTTTTATAACTCTGCTGCATATACAGATTTTAAAACTCAAATACTAATTTTATTGCTTCCTGAATAATAAGAAAGAGAAGTTCTTTGGCTTGGAGGAAAAAGTACAGGCTTTAGAGACAGTCCTATCTATGTTGGAGTCATGGCTTTGCCACTTACAAGGTGTGTGAGTTAAGGCATTGAAACCCTCTGCACCTCAGTTTTCTTATCTATAAAGTGGGAATGAAAACGTATAACCTCTAAGACAGTTGTGAAGATTAGAGATAATATGTAAAACACTTAGTAGCCATAGTTGTAATAACAGCTAATACTTACTAGTACTTTATTTAGCCAGGCATCTTTCTAAGAACTTTATGTGAATTTACCTACATAAAGTAGGTGCTTTTATTAGCATACTCATAGCTACCCTATGAGGTAGGTGCTTTTATTAGCATACTCATTTTACAGATGATGAAATTAGGACAAGAAGAGGCCACACAGTTGGGAATTGGTATAGCTATTACCAGTATATAGTTACAGTGAGAGAAAAGAGTAAATAGGTATAAACTCCTAAAGAATACAAGCCCATACGAGATTAGTGTGCCAGTTCTTATGATTAGGGTGAGGCAAAAGACCTGTGCAGGCCAAACTGCCTTTTTGGGCAGCGTGCCTGCCTCACTGTTTTCTCTGTGGCCTTAGCATGGACTGGGATCACCTCGCATCCCCACTCCTGCGGGGAGCTCTGTCTCTCTGAGTGACTTTACAGCAATCAGGAAAGCTTTAGTGCTTACCTGTGAGAACCCTGATTTAAGGTTCCATTTCCTTGGAAGGAAGGAAAACCAGAGAAGCTGTTGCAGGAAATAGTCTTTCCTCATGTGAGGGTAGAGTAGGGCCACCTTCTTTTCAGAGAGTATTAGACAGGGCTTACGATGTGTGACTTGAAGAGCAGAGAAAGTCCCCACAAACCCTGACACCTCTCCCTCCAGCTCAGAAATTCACCAGCTGGCTGGACAAGGCTGCTTTTCCTTCATTAGCAGAGCCCAACCACCAACCCACGCACCAGATCAGCTTTCCCTCGCCATGGGCCTCACAGGAAAGTGCTACAGGACTAGTGGGTCCCAAGGATGTTGGAGGTGGGGGCAGCTGGGTGGCAGGGACAGCCTGCAGGTGCTACGACTGGCAGATCAGCTGGGCAGGTGACAGTGCTGTGAGGACAGGGCCTGAGAAGCTTCCAGAGGCCAATCTCCACCCGACAGCATCCCTGTGTCAGCTGCAACTGCCCACTTATAAAGAGATCCATGCTGTCGTCAGGCCCCTGTAACTTGTCCCGGGTATGTATAAATATTTTAGGTGAGCCCTGTTAATATTGAGCGACCTGTTTTTAGGCTCTGCTGACTTTGGCATGTAGTTTTTGACAGATTAGAAGTATATTTTGTGTATCAGCCCACTGAAAAGAGAGAAAGAGGCACAAGATTTTGAGTTAACCTTATTACTTTCTTCAAAATACTGGCATTTTTTCCCAAGACAATTTATGCTTCTTCCCCATATGCAAAGTCAGGAAACCAGAAACCAGTCACTTAGAGGTACCTGATAGCCATTGCTGTTTAAAGTTCAGTAATTCAGTAGGAAAGTGTAACCACTCTCTGTAATTGGGATTGTAGGTATTTCAGTTTAACAAAGTCGGAGGCCATGAAGTCAGCCCAGTGACCCCAGAGAACTTCACCGGTTGTGAATTCACGCAGCAGGTCCAGAAGGAGGCTTATCCTGATGCTATTTTGCAGGTATCTGACTCATTTGCTTATTTTTATTTTGTTTCTAGAATCCTGTGTCTTAAAGTTACAGTGTTAGAAAGGAGAGGAACTTTGTACAACTTCCCCCATTCACAGAAAGAAAACTAAGACTCGGGTCATTAAGAAAATATCATGGGTCATACCTCTAATGAAGGGCAGAGCCAAGGAAGAATCCAGACTTTGGGACTTTTAGAACAAGGCTGTTTCTAAATTCTATCACACCCCTCTGCTGTTAGTTGGGTGTGTGTAATTTATTCTAAAACCATGGTGAAGACTCCCAGAAAACACATGTATGGATGATGATTTCCAGAGGTTAGAGGGTAAGGAGTGACAAATAACTGAGAAATGAGGAAGGCCAGTCCCAAACAGATACATCTCTCCCCATCTATCTATCCATCCATCTATGCATCCATCCACCCAGCCATCATTTCTATATCTTATCTACCTATCCTCTTTCTATATCTATCTATGTATCATCTATCTCAGGTAGTAATACCTTTCCTCAATACTCCATTTCCTTAAATGTCAGCTTAATTATAGAAACTGGGTCTAGATGTGCTTCTATTGGAAACCAGCTTCTATAGTCATGCTCATGAGGTAGACAATGGAGTCTCCCAAAGCTTCCTTTCTGGTCACCTGATGCTCCATCTACCATCACCTAGGGAAGTACAGGCCAGAGGAGGTGGAGAGGACCCCTGTAAGACAGAGGCCCTCTCCTGCAGCACCCAGCAGCCCATCTGGAGGGCTCTGTCCTCCACTCCAGTCCAGGCTGCTGTGACTTAGCCCTGTCTCTGCCCTAGTGCTTACAAATCGCAGGTTGGGGATTGGATCCCCATTCACTTTTGTGGTTTTTCAAAACCCATGTTTTCCACTGCATAGGCTACTCCATAAAATGGGCACCTACAGAAGCTTTTTGACCTTTGCTAGACCAATGCTAATGTAACATTTTCTCCCCCAGATTTATTGAGGCATAACTGACAAAAATTGTACATATTCAAGGTGTACAATGTTATTATTTGATGCTGATGCACTGTGAAATGATGACCACAGTCAAACTAACACATCCATCACTATAATTAGTTACCATTTGTGTGTGTGTAGTGAGGTCACAAAATGTACTCTCTGCAAATTTCAAGTAAAGAATACAGTATTATTAACTAAAATCAACTTGCTATACATCAGATTCTCACAACTTATAATAAAAATTCCTTAGGGACATTGAAGTTTAAGAAACTGAAAAGGAACCTTTCTTCTAGGGTGTTGGTTACCTCCTGTTTAAATCCAGTCAATAGACACAGCAAATTTGAAACAAATTAAAATTTATCTTACTTTTAATGTACTATGTCCTTAACAAAATAACTTCCTCAAAGATTCCTCTAAAGTACAGAAAGAGAGAGAGAGAGTGTGTGTGAGAAAATGCATTAAAACAGTATTTTACTGTTGTATTGAGAAACCTTATCATCACTAAAGAAATTTCTTGGTAGTCCTGTGTTATATACTGAAAATCCCTTCTTTCTTATCAAGGCACAAGCCGGATATAAAATCCATTCATCCTTCCGCTCTCTCAGCTCTGCCATCAATGCGTCCAAAGGGGGTTATTTATTGGAAAGTGCCAATAAGCTGTTTGGAGAGAAGTCTGCAAGATTCAAGGAAGTAAGTGAAACCTGTAATTGAAATGGCTGGGCTCCAAACCAGCAATGAGGTCACTTTCAAAGCGGTTCTCTACAATTCTACAATTCACACAAGCAGAGCTGGAATTCCATACTGTCTCCCAAAGGCTAGCCTCAGGTCACAGCTGCCTTTTTGCCCCACTGTGGGTTCTTCCTCTTCCTGTTGCAAATGTCCCAATTGCAGAGTAATAAATCAGGACAAGGAATGCAACTGTTTTCCCTGAGAGGAGACACTATCCCCCAAGCCAAACCTCTTTCCTCTTATTCAGTGTCTATAATGCAAAGAGTGCAAAAGGGTGGATAGTGTTGGGGCTGGAATGTGGGGAAGGGGGTCAACGGAGAGTTTGTAGTCTGCTCTATTTCCTCCCCTCAGCCACTCCAACCACAGCCAATCTCTGCCCCTACCCTGACTGAGCCCAGGTCTCCCATAATCTGCAATTACGCCATGGCCTGTTCAGTGTATATTGTATGTAACTATTGACATTTTGTTGCTTTAAAGGAATTCATGCAACTCTGTAAGAAATATTACTCTGCAGAACCCCAGGCAATTGACTTCCTAGAATGCGCAGAAGCAGCCAGAAAAAAGATTAATTCCTGGGTAGAGACTGAAACAAAAGGTAAAACCAAGAAAATATTTTCTTCTTTCCATTTAGAAAACCCTGAACTATTTTATTAAACTATCCTTGAACTTAGGTCTCCTCTCCTTACAATTTTTCAAACTTTAGTTACTTTGGTTAACCTAAATTTATGTCTGTTTAGCTGAGTGGTGTTTTAAATGAGAAAAAAAAACAAAAACTGAGACCTATTTAATAGAAGACCTAGTAGATGTAAATAGTAACCCCAAATTTTAATGCTTAGTTAATATGTTGAATGGACACATTAAATGTATATATTTAAACTGGGACCATAGTGACATTTTTATTAGAATCTGATATATCTCAGCCATGTCAGAGAGTGCTGGGCTGTGGAGGCAGAATTTTTACAAGTTTACCAACATTGGAAGCTTGGGATGTTGCTCACCTCTCTCACCATGGTGTCTTTTTGTGAAAAATGACACTAGTAACACCAACCTAATAGAGTAGTTGTGAGGATTAAATAAAATAAGGTATTTTAGTGGTTGAAATACTGCAGAACAAGTATTCCTTGTAACTGGACTGTTTCTTAAATCAATTTTTATTTTTTCAATGACCACACTCAGATGTCATCATTTCTGAGAACCTTCTCTGGCTCACTCCTTTACTTCCTTCTCTGCATTGTCATAGTACTTCAGCTCAATTGTGAAACTTATTGCACATTGTTTCCCAGCAATTTTTAATGTCTCTTCTAGTATTCTAATCTTATCCAGCATAGTTCTTCCTTTCTCATTCCTTATATCTTCACTCTTCCTACTTTAGGTATAGCAAGACATAAAAATAAAGCTAATGAATGAATGAGTGGGTCAGATCCATAGACTGACTAGATCAGACCTAAAAGTACTAAGTGACATACTTTGGAAAGGCACTATTATGCTCCTTAAGAGCCTTGCTTTCACTTCTTTCTTGAATTCAATAACTACCAACTGCAAAACTTTGAGAAAACCATATAAAAGGAAGTCAAAAATCTCCTTGCCAAATTTGATAGACATTTTAAACTTTAAATGCATTATTTTTTCATTTTCTCTTGGATTTTATAAACCTTCTGAGACTATTTTTCAAATTTCATTTATGCTTTAAATAAATCTCCAGAAAACCTTGAGTTTGAGGATTAACATCTCTGCAGCTTGACAAATGTGGACACTGAGTTTGACGGCTACTCAAAGAATTCAAGATACCATATTTATAGTTTCACAGTTCTTGATCATGAAACCTAGATATATGTTATGTTTTCTGTAGGTAAAATTCCAAACCTGTTACCTGAAGGGTCTGTAGATGCGGAGACCAGGATGGTCCTGGTGAATACTGTCTACTTCAAAGGAAAGTGGAAAACTCCATTTGAGAAGAAACTGGATGGGCTTTATCCCTTCCGTGTGAACTCGGTATGAGACAACTAGATGCATTTTCTTAACATATATTTTAAGGCCTTTGACAAGACAGCAATAGAAAAATTAGAGATGACTCATTTATTCTCTTACATGACTTGCTAGTTATAAGTTCTGCATGTTGAGCAGTTGATTGACTCTTTCAAGCTACTGAATATCATTTGATAATTTCCTAAGAGGCAGTATGGGTAGAGGTGAATACCATGGGCTTTTTAAGTATACACACCTGGTCTCAAATGTTGGCTCTACCACTTAGCAGCTATGACCTTACTAATCTTCCATGCATTTTGTTTTTGATCTATAAAACTAGCGTAATATAATCTTTAATTCAAAGTGTTATAAGTATACAGTGAGAATTAGTAGGGTTTCTGGCCCATATTAGATACTGAACAAATATTTTAGTATTATTATTATCTATATTATTATTATCTATCTTAGTAATTAGTAAACTTGAATGAGCTAATAGTAAATAAGATCAGAGTACCCACTGTAAAGATATACAAATAATTCAGTTTGTTGATTTTAAACAAAACACATTTATTCAGCACTAAAGTAGAACCCATTCTCTTTCATGTCTAATCTTAGAATTGATTTTCATAGTTTACTTTTTAATAACTTTAGACTCAGCGTATACCTGTACAGATGATGGTCTTGCATGAAAAGCTGAACATTGGATACATAAAAGACCTGAAGACTCAGATTCTAGAACTCCCATATGCTGGAGATGTCAGCATGTTCCTGTTACTTCCAGATGGAATTGCTGATGTGTCCACAGGCTTGGAGTTGGTAAGGCTTTCAAACATCACTTGTTTTAAATTTCTGGGGCTAAGCCTACCTTTCATGACATGAGCATCTACACCTATCACAGAAACATGTGAATCAGTTGATAGATAGTAAATGTGACATGTCTCTAAAATTCATTCAAAGCCTTAACTGTGTCATATATGTTACCTTCTTGCAAAAATTTGACCAATCTATTAACTTTTTATCACCCACAATATAGTAAAGTTAAAGTAACTGATTTTTAACATTAGACTTAGAGTTGTCTTCCTTCTTCTCTAACATTCGCTGTGTTTTCTGTTTGCTTATTTATTTTGTTTTGCTTTGTTTTGATTTGCAGCTGGAAAATGAAATAACCTATGACAAACTCTACAAGTGGATCAGCAAAGACACCATGGTGGAAGATGATGTTGAGGTGTACATTCCCCGGTTCAAATTAGAAGAGCATTATGAACTCAAACCCATTCTGAGAAGCATGGGCATGGATGATGCCTTCAGCAAGAGCCAGGCCAATTTCTTAGGCATGTCAGAGAGGAATGACCTGTTTCTTTCAGAAGTGTTCCACCAAGCCACGGTGGATGTTAATGAGGAGGGAACTGAGGCAGCTGCTGGCACTGGAGGTGTTATGACAGGGAGAACTGGTCACGGAGGCCCGCAGTTTGTGGCAGATCATCCTTTTCTTTTTTTTGTCTTGCACAAAGTGACCAAGATCATTTTATTTTGGGGCAGGTTTTCCTTACCCCAAAATTGAAGAGTTCTATTCCTGCACAGGATTTTGTAGCATGAGCTATAATCCTCAGAACTGCTATCTCAAGTGCCAAAAATTTAGAGACTTTTTCTACATATTTCTGTTCTTCTGAACAACTTCTGCTACATACTAAATATAAACACAGAAATGACTAGACAATTGTCAATCATAATACGACAACCCTATTAATCCTTTGGTTTTGTAACATGGCATGATGCCCATTTGGTTTTTCTTAGTTTATTTTACAGTATCAACTTTTTATTTATTATTTTATATATTGACAGATTTTTTTATTATTGCTCAGTATATTTAATGTAACTGATAAAGTTACAGAAGCAGGTGATCAGTTACTTTTCTATCTAAAGAAATTCATTTACTTATTTTTATAATAAAGGATGAGTAGGAGACCCTCCACACCCTTCTATGATAAATACCTAGAAGAAAGCATTGAACAATTGGCAGACATAGTTATGTGACTTTCTAGCATTATGCATATGTGTCTGTGACTTATATAAAATTGCAAATATATAATAAACATATTTCCACACAACCATATGTTTGTTGTCACTCTGTTAGGTCTGCAGATCATAAGACCTGTTATACCTTGATTCCCAGGAGTTCAGCATCATGGCTTGATTGTGGAAACCCACAAACAATAGACAGGATAAAGGATCCAAGGGGGTAACCACCCTCTTGTAAGAATATGCAGTATTGAAAGTGAGTGGGATAGGGTTGTATAAAAAATAGATGAGAGCTGCCTTCTCATAGCAGCAAAAGGCATAGCAATTCAGAATAGTCTAGGTCAGAATGAGGAGACCAGTGTCTAAACCTCAAGGACACCAGAAAGAACCACCAAGTCAGCTGGTACAGACACAGAATAAGGTCACAGTCACTGAGCTGAGAGCTCAGAGCAGTGGAGATGGGCTGGTTGCACGAGCAGGAGGGGAAACATAAGACAGCTCATTTTAAGGATGTTTTGTTTCAAATAGCACTGAATGCTTTTGAGTGGATCAGAGGCAGAGCAGAACATCATTTAAATGCTGAGAACTAAGGGAAATCATATGTCTGAGGGTCTGGATGGAAAGTATAGTCTGGCTGCAAAAGTGTGGCTGGATCCTGGAAATGGACCACAGCTCCAACCACAGCAAGCAAGGATGCTTGACTGATCAGAGCATGGTGGGTAAGAAGTAATCTCAGGACCTGACTATCTGCCTCCAGATCCCAGTTCTAACACTTACAAGTGGTCTAACCATGGGCCACACATGGTGCTTCTTTTTACTTTAGTTTACTTTCAGTGTAAGCTAGAGAAAAAACAGCTTTTGTCATAAAGTTGGTATGATGATTAAATGAGTTTGTATGTATCAAGCAATTAAAAGAATACTTGGTATATGTAGTATTTAATAAATACTAGTGATTATGGCCCTTATTATGTTTATCGGTAACAAAGCTGTTTCATTGTCAGCTGGTCAAACACATGCGTAGAATCTCAGAAAATTATTGAGTTAATTTTTTAATGCTTGAATCATGGTGGATTTCCTTTGATCAGACATTCTTAAAAATTAAGGGTTGTTGTTTCTTGCATTCTCCTTACTTTTAGATTTATCTTTCTAAGTACTTTAATTATGCATTCTGCAAGGTGGTAAAATGGTAACTTTGTGAATCATTACAAGTCTTAAAATATCCACATTATGCTCTTATTATTGAGTTAGAATATGGGTGTAGAATTTCAGGTTCAAAGCACTCTTTAGCATTCTGAGGGTATGATTCTATGATCTTTTGGCACCCAAGTTGCTGATGGGAAAGTTGAGACCAAGATAATTTTTTTTGCTTGTAGTTTTAATAATTTTCTTTTGTTCTTGACAATACTTTTTGATATTCCATTGCCTTAAGTGTATTTTTAAAATTGTGTTTTAAAAAATATATATTATTTTAATCAGTAGATTTTTTCATCTGGAGAATTGTACCTTGCTTCAATTCTAGGAAACTTTCAGCCATTGCTATGGGCTTTCTGTTCATACCCCTCAAAATTTATACACTGAATTGCTAATGCCCAATATCATGGTATTTAGAGGTGGGGCCTTTGGAAATTAATTAAATGAGGCCATGAAGGTAGAACTGCCATGAGGGTGCCCTTATAAAGGAGGTGAAGGCACCAGATCTTTTTCTCTCTGCCATGTGAGGATACAACAATGAACCTGTGAACCAAGAAGAGGGCTCCCATTAGAACCTGACCATGCTGGCACCCTGGTCACAGATTTCCAATCTCCAGAACTGTGAGGAATAAATGTCTGTTGTTTAAGCCATCCAGTCTATGGTATCCTGTTATAGTAGTCTGAACTTACTAAGACAGCCATGACCCATTCACAGTTGCTTCTGCCCCGTTCTTATCTTTTCCCTTCCTCTGGATTCACATTAGAATAATGGTGATATACCTGGGGCTCTTCTCTGTTTCTGAAATTTTTTGAATACCTAATAAATTCATGTGGCCCAAACATTAAATATCATAAAAACAACTAGAGCAAAAACTCTTTCTGTTACTGCTACTCCCTATTCATTTAGTTCCTATTCCCTTAGCTTTACTAGTTTTATATATATATATAAAACTAGTTATATATATATATATGTTATATATATGTATATATATATACACACACACACCAGGCAGGACATAAATAAAGATGGAAAGCAAACAAAATTGTTAAAAATACTATGTCATTAGTTTGGAATATGGTTATCTTTTTTTCTAGCCCCCCAACAGGCAATAAAATATGCACAACCTTGATTTTATTGATATAGACCATTATACTATAGGATTTTTAATCAACGAAAATGGGAGGCAAACGGCGTGTGGCTCCACGCCTGTAATCCTAGCTCGTGGGAGTGAGGCGCGGATTGATTAAGGTCAGGAGTTAAAACCAGCTGAGCAGAGGAGAAAAAATGTCTCATATAAATAAAGAAATATGGCCAAATGAATGTATATAAAATTACCGGCGCATGGTGGCGGATGCCTGGTAGTCCCAGCTACTCGGGAGGCTGAGGCAGAAGGATCGCTCGAGCCAGGAGTTTTGAGGTTGCTGTGAGCTAGCCTGACGCCACGGCACTCACTCTAGCCTGGTCAACAAAGCGAGACTCTGTCTCAAAAAAAAAAAAAAAAAAAAGAAGAAATGGGAAAGGGATCTAGAGAAGGTTTTGGGAAAAATGAATAAAACTTAGTGACTTTCAAGAAGATGAAACAATTTCTTGCCTGATTCAGCAGAATCTACATACTGTGCACTGATGCAGCCCAAGTCACTCTCTGGTGAACTGCTGTCAGTCAAGGTGAGCAAGCCTCATACCTGAAGCCCCCATGTGACACTTTCATCTAATAACAGTCCTGGGGCATCCACAGATAACCGCATCTACTAAGCAAAAGCCAGGAAGGCATCCTGGCCTTTTCCTAGGACAGCTCCCATTTCTAGAAAAGTCCAGAGTAACACTCTGCTCTGCTCTCCACACCAACATTCAAATACTAAACTCTGAGCCAGCTTGCCAGAAGATATGTACGCCTCAGTGAAGAGAAAAAGAGGAACTACAGAAAGAAAAATATAGCAAATGTGATATAAATAAAAGCTCCTCCTTTTCCCTTAATCCTTTGGATTTAATCCTTAATCTTAATCCTCCTGTGCCCATTTTTCTCCTCTCTCCCTCCACCACTCCTCCACACACATGCAAATCAAATAACTGACCTATCATTTTCCCTTTATAGTATATAAGGAGTGAGGAAACACTCATAGGGAAAAATAAAAGAGAACCAGAAAATGATGAACTAACACTCTACTTAATAACTGTGTCTAAAACATTGATCCAAGCTTCATGTCCCTGCTGGCGGGGAGAATTCACATCTCACTTGTTGGAGTTATGCTCTGTATTCTATACAAACGCTCAGTGAGCATAGGAAATCTTCCTGGCTTCCTCTCACGTAGTACTCTAAGGGCAACTTCAACAGGTTCACAGTAAATAAATCATCAGCAATATTTTCTATTTCATTGCTCATTATTATTTCAATAATTTGAAGCTTTCTATTTTTGTTTAAAAAAATCTACCACGGAAAACCATAGTAATTGTTATCAGTTGGCAGACTAGAGAAGGGATTAAGCAAAAAAAGAATGAGTTACAATCTGTCAGAATTCAGGCCTCTACATGTGGACAGACATGGAAAATGTGAGTAATGAAATAATTGAGACAAAACCTTCAACTGTCTATCTCTCTGTCTTTTTATTTGAACTTCTGGCTAACATAAGCCTGAACAAAAGAGTGTGTACACACTTGTTAAAGTGAATCAAAGGGTTGGGCTGAGAAGAGGGAGGTGCTAATTTTTTTTTTTTTCCATTTCTTCAGTTAAAAGTTACCTAACTCTTTAGTCACAATCTCTTACTAAAGGAACAAATTGCCCATTCAGCTCCAGTGGAAGAAAACAAGGTATTGTAAATATTTCTTTGGTTAATAATGTTTATTTCTGTTTTTCTTCTTTGTTGAAGTACCTAGGTAAATAGCAGATGATGAAGGCCTCCTCACCCAAAAAATAAAAATAGATAAGGCTTCATCCCCTAAGATTTTTTCTGTACAAATCAGAGAGAATTAATCCTGAGTTAGTTCAAGTTTGTGGTGAAGAGATGTCTAAGCGGCAGAGAACATTCATTTCCAAACAAGTTAGAGAAACTGTTTTACTAGGAATTGTGAAACCACAAGTTAACTTTTCTTCAGTCACATTTTTGGATTTGCCACCTCTCTATCTGTCAACACAGGTGAAGAATAACAGAACATTCTCAGAATAATTGAGCTGAAACCCTTCCAGCTCTTCCAGATGAGTGGGCGTGGTAACATGAATTTCAATCCTAGTCGTAATATATGGAACTATTGGTCTGACTCTGTAAATGTGCCCCCATCCAACACCCCACTCTTCAGTCCTGGCCACTGTTTCATGGTCTGTTATCTTTCTCTTCTTCTATGGGGCAATCTAAGTCCCTAATCGCCTACCTTACACTAGGTGTTGTTCATAAACCATTCCAAACTATCACCTCCCTCAAAAAAAAAAAAGGCTTTGGGTTAAATAGAGAGGTTCTGAGGAGTAGGGAAGATGTCATTTTCTGATATGTACAACTCGACGAAGGAGGTAATATCAGTGTCACCAGCAAGAGGCTGTGAATAGTCTCTCATGGAAAAGGGGACAAGAATCCCTCCTGCTCCCTTCTCCTCCTCTTCCTCTTCATCCCTCTTCTGATTTCCTTTCTTCTCCTGTTCTAGTCCTCTGCTGTGAGTCCTTCATCATCTAATCTCTTTCTTTTACCCTCAAAATCTTAAAGACAATAGGAAATAATGACAAAAGCAATTGTATTCAGAGTCAAGAGAATGAGGTTGCAGTTTTCACTCAGATGTTAATTAGCTGCACATCCTTTGTCTGCTCATTTACTTCTCTGGGCTTTAGTTTCTTAGCAGATAATATGGGAGAGTTGGGTTAGGGGAACTCCGAGGTTCTTTCCAACTCTGATAAGCTGGGAGCATGTGTATCTATGATAAGACAGTTTGATGAATGACACTATCCTTCTTAATTCTCCTTAGTTTCTCTCCTAAGTCCATTGACAGATTGAGTTAATGTATATATTTTTCTCATATATGTATATATTTCATATATGTATATATAATCAATTTATAGCTCTGGAAAATTGCAAGAGAGCAGTTTATTTTGAAAATATCATAGTAGGCTTCAGATTTAGACACAGTCTTCTCTGAAAAGATAATTGTCCAGCATTTGTATGGAAAAATTATTTCCTGTAAAATCTCATCCTACACTTCTAACCCCCAACAGAAAGTACTTTTCACTGTTGGGTTAAATATTACTAATGACTGGCTTAGTATTTCATTAAATTTCTTTAAAAAAAAAAAGGAAAATCAGAAATTGTTCCTCTTGTATGTTTTGGGCTATACCTGATATCTTAATAATGATATTAATGAGGGAATTAATAAAGCTGGATATTAATTTTTCATGAGAAATTAGCTTTAATTAGAAAGAATGATTGTTTTGAGGAGTTTGTTATAAGTAAATAAACTCTAGAATAACCACAGACTGAGGTAGAAAGATAAAAATCTCAGGCCCTAAAATATTACTTTCTCTCCTCTTCATGGCCAGGAAGCCAAACATTTTCCATATTAATTTAATTCACGAGTTTTTAAAAGATAGAGCTTGATATATACTGTATACAGTTAGCAAAATGTCATTTAAATGAGTATAGCCTTAAAGGAAGTAGATAGGTTGTCTCTAAGATGGCATTTGATCTGTTAAAAAAAAAATACTCACAGGCAAGTTTTCAACATTTTATGAGGGTATAGAATTACTACAAAATTAGTTTTGTTTTTTTTTAATCAAATACAGTCAGCCTGGGATTATCCGCTTTGGGAAGGGGTGGGAGCCACACCTACAGCATGTTTTAGAGGTTGGAAAGCTGTTTGGTTAAGGATAAGCCTGTGGCTAGGAGGGACTTCCACAGTATCATTGTTAACTCCAAGTTATGATGAAACCAAACTTTGTCTACACATGCCTCTCCCTTGATTCAGTTATTAATATTTGACTATAGAGAACTGACATTTTTCAAAGCTCTCATTGTATCTTTCTCAAAGAGCCAGGTGACGTCAGTGCAAGACAAAGCTACACAACACTGGCATTAAGGGGAGTTCCTAGGTCTAAGAATTTGATTTAGTTTTAATCATTAAACCAATTTGAGAAAGTCTTTTGCCATAAAACGACAATACATTGAACTAGCTATGTTTTTGATAGGGAACCAATTTTAAAAGACTTTTAAATTAAAGTATTAGAAAAATTAGAGATGAAATTTAGGAGTTGTAATATCTAAATGTAATATCTAAAAAGATGAGGAAACCTGAGTGCTCTTGTTTAAGAAGACTAGTTTCAGAGAGTCTCGAATGAGTGAGAATAAAGACAAATGAGTCTTAACTTCTCAACTTCCCAGAAAGCATTTCTCACTTAATTGTGCATGATTTCAAGTTTAAATAAATAAATAATGGCAGCTAGAGCCCAAGCAGCGAACACGTAAACAAGTAATAAACAAGTATTTGTAAGTGCCCATTTTGTGCAAAGTCCTGAGCCAGGTGCTGTTGTATGTAAAAAGCAATATAAGAAGATAATTTTGTTCTCAGGAAGCTCACTCTGGAGTTGGAAAGACTAGGTATAAACATACAGAAACAAAACTAGTGGTGAGATAATAGCCAAGACAGTAGCTAAAACTATATTATGAAACTCAGCTGCTAACTGACCAGAATCCAACTATCCTCTGGTGCATATTAGCATTAAAATTTGAGGCAATTTTCTTAAATTCTTTTGCATGCAGTGTTCTAATATATAAAATAATATCATTGGACTAGAATTGTGCTAAAGTCTATTAAGCTTTTATGAATACACATATGGATGGGTTAATGTATACAAATATGGAAGGATATTTTTACAAAAGTAAAATAGGTGGAAAGAATTATTAACATGTTCTCTATCTTTTGCTTTATTTTTCTTAGGTTTCCCCAATGGACTCTCTGGCGTCATCAATCAACCAGTTTGCCCTGGAATTTAGCAAAAAACTAGCTGAATCTTCTGAGGGTAAAAACATTTTCTTTTCACCCTGGGGCATCTCAACTTCCTTGGCCATGGTGTATTTGGGCACCAAAGGTTCCACTGCAGTCCAAATGGCCCAGGTGAGTGGAAAAGGTCCAACATCTTGTTTGCCTTGAAACTAAATGTTTTCTTTGTCTTTTAATTTTAATTTTCTCTTGAGGACCCAATAGCCCACATTTTACAACAATGTTGTCTAGAACAAATGATGCACTTTAAAAAATTCTAGACCATAAAACAAAGTCTGGTAAATGGAATCAGTTTGAAAACTGTTGCTAGGAAAACTGTTTAAGATCCTGTGTCCTTTAGCAAAATAAAATGACGATAAATGATGAGGTTATCAATTTTGGTTGAACACCAAACCAATTTTATTTTGATGATTAAAATATTTCATGAGTTGGGATAAACTTTAAATAACAGAATTATTTACTGTATTTCTAATCAGAAGGATTTTCTTGATGACACAAAAAAGAAAATTAAAAAAAAAATTCTTTTCCTCATGCTTTGTCTGGCTGTTTCTTTGTTTAATCCGGGGTTGAATGAATCTAACCATCTCTCTCTATATATATGAGTCATAGATAACTCATATATAGGTAACAAAAGTAGAGTCATAGATAACAAAATAGCAATTTATGTATGTATATATGTATGTGTGTAAAATATATATATGAATACACATATATGTTCCTATATGTATATATAAATGTGTTTTTTAAATAAAAATAACAGAAAAGACAATTTTACCTCAGTGTATTCCCAATATCAACCTAAAATATCTTATAAAAAAGTGTTAAAATAAAAAGACTAGAAATCTTAATTATTTAAAAGCAGCTCATGACTTACTCTACTAGTTTAATACATCACTTAAATCAAATCAGAGTTCCTTTATTTAATTAACTATATGTTCTGCAGTTACAGGAATTACTACTTTGTATTTATGGATGTGTATTTCATATGATTACTTCTCTGCAAAGTGTACTCAATTGTCTTTTTAATTGAAATTACAGGTTCTTCATTTTATCAGAGATCAGGCTGTCAAATCTGGTCCTGAAAGCGAAAAGAAAAGAAAAATGGTATATCTTATATTTTAATATCTATTTGATGACTAAGGAGAAAGCACTTTTAGCACATGCATTTTAGTGGTTAATTTAAGCAACCTTTAGAGGGTGACTTTTCTTAGAAATATTTATGAAAATTATAGAAACATTTTTCAGAATGAAACGTATCTGCACATTTTGAAAAACCCTTTTCTCCACCTCCTTTTTATCTCTCTCAAAATTTCTCTACTTTCACTTGCTCTTGCCTGCCTTTGCAAACTAGATGCAAAGAAGGATACCCCTGAGAACATTTAATTTTGTGCACCAATTGCATTAAAGAAATATTTTAACTACTTTAGAATTGTTTTCAGCTTTTCTTTCCAATACACTAAATAATTTAATTTAGCTATAGGTTGCTGACATTTATGTAGCTCTTGTTTATCATTTTTATTTGATTAATTCCTCTTCTTTTAAAGGAATTCAACTTGGGCAAGGCTGAAGAAATACATTCTGATTTTAAAACACTCATTTCAGAAATCCTAAAGCCCACCAATACCTACACACTTAAAACAGCCAATGGGATATATTGTGAGAAAACATATTCATTTCACAATGTAAGTGGAAATGTCTTATTTTAAGATAATGGGGTTTGGGGAGAGCCATGTGAGATCAATCAATTAACTCTGTGCATTTCTCTGGGGATCCCAGGGACAATCTTAATGATGTCAGTACTTCCCTGTAAACAATCATTTAGACAATAAGTGTCTAAGTAGTAAAGGAAACCAATAATGGATCTCAAGCCAGATCTAGTGATCAGATCTGTATGTCTAGAATAAAGAGGTAACTCCCAACAGCCTGTGAACATACATGGAAATGTAGTTGATATCATGCATAGGCCAATGTTTGTTTCACAAGAAGCAGAGAGGAAACATTGTGGAGTAATTAAGTAAATTAAGTACTAAGGGGCAGAAGGTGGGGGTGATCATAGGGCTGCAGCTGCAGACTGTATACTTGAGGGCAAAGTTACCTTGGGATGAAAGGAGTAGGCAGCTTTCACAGAAGGTCTTTAGAGACTGTGGGAACATAAAATACAAAATAATATCAACTCTCTTTTGCTAATGGCTTAAACTCCACCAAACAGACCAGGACAACTTTGTCCTCTGTAAAGACTGAAGTGCTCCTCAGAGTGGTACTCCCCAAAAGAGTTCAATTGTTTACTTCTTTCAGGTTTGTCTGTCACATCCTTTGGTACATATCAAAAGAGAGCAGGAGGACTCAGGTATCCCATGGGCAAAGAGTGAGGAAATTAGGTAGGGTGGAAGGATAGTAAGATAAATTAAAGCCATCTTGTGATTTCAAGCACTGCTATCCATATCCATATCCAGTGAATTCTGGGAAGTTGAGGACTTGGACTTTGCTATTACACTGAAGACAGAAAACCAGTCGAATGGAATCTTAAAACAGTTCTATTACTGATAGGTTTATGGACTTCCGTTTGAGCCAAAAGTAGGACAGATGATTCAGCTCAGCGGGCACTTGGAAACCAGACAGATATAGAGATACAAACCTCTTTTTACATGTTCACAAGCCCTGTGTTAAGACAGGAAAACCTCTTTTTACATGTTCACAAGCCCTGTGTTAAGACAGGAAATAGTGCCTTGAGAATATTTAAGTTTTCTTTTTACTAGATTATAAAATCCAAGTTACTTCATAATCATCAAACCACTTCCTGGAAGAAGAATTAACTCACCCATTTTACTGCCTACAAACCCTCCATAAAGTAAGAAAACTGAAGGGATATCACAGCTGTCCTTAAGAATGAATTATGTTCCCCAGGCTGGTGCCCATTAACAGTAACCTATGTCACAGCCCACATACAATGATTGCCACAGGGTGAACATCAAAGGGCCGGAAAGAGGGGACCTTGCTTTTTGCCTCAGAGTGCCTAATAAAACCTTAGATCATGCTTAGAAATCCATTTTCAAAACCTTTGACCATGTTTAAAGTCAGTTTTCATGGCAGAATATAGTTTTCTTTGGGGGCCCTCCACAAAACTCTCAAATGTTTAGTAGAGTTCTCAGAACGAAGCTGCCAGACCGACAGGTCTTACTTTGGTTCCATCCCTGCTACAGAAAGCCAAGTAGACTCCCAGTACCAACTGGCAACTGGGTCACGCCTGGTCATTCATAAAGTCCTCCATTTTTATTCTAGCTTCATTCCCAAGCATGAGTAAAAGTAGAAAATAAGAATATGTGGAAGCTCCAGAACTGTGGGCATCAGACCTTCCTTCTATGCCTGGATTTCAGTGTTCTGCTAAGTTTGAAGATGGTAGCGCTTAGTTTTTGACCAAAACTGAGAGTGGGGAAAAAAACAAAGGAGTGATGCATTGGGAATTTGCAATTGTCCATCTACCTAGTTCTTTTGGTAATCTAAACAGGGTTGATTTCTCAGTTTTGGACAAACTATACAAAAGGAGATCTTTACCTATGTCTTTCAGAAATATTTAGAAGACATGAAAACATATTTTGGTGCAGAGCCACAGTCTGTTAACTTTGCGGAAGCTTCTGACCAAATCAGAAAGGAGATCAACTCTTGGGTTGAAAGCCAGACTGAGGGTAAGCCTTCAGCAAGGGGCTTGGAAGAGTGCTTTCTCCAAGTGTCCTATTTATTGAATTTGTATCATGTGTAAGTATACATATTCCTTGAGTAGAACTGTGGACACATTCTAAAAATTCAAACATTTGTTTCTACTCATGTCCATAATTTTTAGATTCACAGGTTTCCCAATAAGTCTTATCTAAAACATTTAAGTTAAGCTACCATTTTACCAAGTAGAGAAGAAAATTATCATATCCCATTAATTCCAAAGAGGAGTCCAGGGGTAAAAAAACAGGAAAACGCAAAAAGAATATTTAAACTGCTGTTGAATGTGTGATTTTTAAAGAAAAATAGCTATTATAGAACCTCTACCTTTATTTTGCCCCGAGCCAACTTACTGACACACCATTAGAAACATAAAATCAGAACACTGTATTTTATGTAATCATTTTATTATATTACATTTACCTACTTTTGTTTTCCATACCTATAATTTGTTTGAAAAAAGGGAAATCAGGAAGTTAAATATACTAATTTTAATTATTCTTGACTATTTTTAAAAGCTTTATTATATATGTTATACATAATCCTTATCTTAAGAAATTATTTTTATTTTTAAAAATGAACATTAAAATATTAATTATTCTTAATTAAAAAGAGCTAGAAGTCACCTGTTTCCCATTTTCCCTATGTGTGTGGATTTTCCTTAATCAATTATAATATTATGACAACTTTCTTTTAAAGGAAAGTCCTACAACTTTTCTTTAAAAGGTTAATTAACCCATTCACTTTGAGATTATTAATATGTCTGGATTTATTGCTATCTTATTATTTGGGCCTTTACATGTATCATGATTTTTTTCTCTCATTTCCTATGTTGCATTGATAAAGTGTCCTTGTTACACTTAAATACCTATGCTTTTTGGTTATTTCTTTTTCATGGGTGAGATCTCTCAACTCTCTGAAGTCTTTGCCTATTTTTAGATCATCTTCTTGCTGTATTTATTAATTCTGTTTCTTATTTATGTGTGTTGAGTTTGATGCTTCTCTTTCATAGGGTTGATTTTCTTAACTCTTTAATCCTTTTGGCTTTCTTCTTGTCTTTTTGTTTGAAAATCCCAGCTCATCTATCTTTAGTTGGCAATTCAGAATACAGTCACTTGTCTGTTATGTCTATTGGGCTGACACTGATGTGCTGTGTCCATAACTTGTATTCTGGTGTCAGAGGCTCCCAGTCTTTCTTGGAAATACCTAGCTCCTTGGGGACACTGTGACATAGCGTGCCTTCACTCATTACTCCAACCTGCGAGCTGACATATGTACAGCCTATTGCAGGCACCCAGGGAGGTACAGAAAGTCAGTAGCCACAATTGCTATTAACCAGTAGCTCTCAATTCTGGCTACACATTCAATTGAATTTACTTACTTCTATGCCTAACTCCTGATGAATTAATTCAGATACCTGGGAGTGAGACTTAGGCATCAGTATTTTTAAGTTCTTGGAAGATTCTAATTGGCAAAGTTAAGATCCACTGCTATAAGTGGAATTATTCCATTTATCTCACTGATGCCCCTACCTCCAACAAGCTCCATGAATGCATGGCCTTTGAGTTTCTAACTCCCTGGGCAACACCTGACCTCCCCAGAGATCGTATGTGATACCTGTGTGTGTGCACCCTCTGATTTCCACTATCAGTCTCATGCGTCTACATTTTCTCTTTAGGGATTCTTCAGATTTTCCAGTTCTTTACCAGCATCTTAGTTTACAGCACTGTTTCAAAAGTATTCTTTTTAACAAATATTTGTTCTAGAATTAATTAACTTTTAAAAGCAGCATGTGGCCATAAATACGAAGTCTACAAAAGCCAGTTCTTTGACTATGTATTGTAAAATTAAATAAAACACAAAACACGTGAATGTTGTACACTAGTCATTAAATTTGCTTTTCATAGAATAGGGTAGCAATTCTGAAATTACTTTATGTATAATCTAGGATGGAGCAAATAAGTAAATATATTAGGAATCATGTGAGCCAGCAAAAAAAGAATTATAAATCAAGAAAAGGCAAAGGCTAGAAGGAACCACATGGTCTTGGATTGGAATTAAAGGTAACAATATGACCTTCTACTCTTTAACATATATACAGAAACATAATTGAATAGATATGGAAATAGATACAAATGTGTCTATAACACAGATATTTCCTAGCTCTGTTTGCTAAGAGGGGCTGGAAGCAATGAAACCCCAGTGGTAATCAGTATATCTAACACTCAGATCTTGATTTCTCAACTCCATCCTTCAAAAAAGGAAAGCCAGGCTTCTAGACAAAATGCTGATATCAGGGTGGGAAGAGAGGAAGTACAAGATAAGGATATCTTGTGATGCCAGGAGATAAGGAAATGCTCAAAATATTTGGAAATATGTGAAAAGGACAGAGGAGCCGACCGAGGAGGTTTCCAATGGTGAAATCTGGTACAATTTGAGCAAGAAAATAAATGATAGTAATGAATTATAAACCAAAGAATAAAATAAATATCTCTGAGTCTACATTGATATAAATAAATAATTGAATACTTAAATAAATGAATAAGGGAAAGCTCTTCCTTATAGAGTAATTGTAGTTAATAAATATAGAAGGAATGATGGAAATAGAAAATTACCATTTTTAATAGTAACCACAGTAGTACTAGTTTTAGGCAAGAATCATCAATGGATGCTAAAATATATGGGCAAAAGTCTGATGAAAAATGGGATATTTATAAGGTCTCAAAGTATCTTCCTACATGATAATTTTTATTATACAAAAAAAAAAGCAGCCATTTTACATTGGAGAAAGCAAGTGTTCAAATCAATATCCCCAATAATAGGACATACAGGCTTCATGACATGATATATTCATTGAGAAGGACGTAGCATGACTTCTGTGGTTATATTAGTTTCCTGGAGTTGCCACAACCACAAAACAGCAAACGTTATTCTCTCACAATTCTGGAGGCTAGGTGTCAAAATTAAACTGTCAGCAGGACCATGCTTCCTCTGAAGGCTCTATGGAGGAAACTTTCCCTGCTTCTCTTAGCTTCTGGTGGTTGCTGGCAATCTTGGCATTCTTTGGCTTGTACAGACATCATTCCAATCTTTGCCTCTGTCAGCACATGCATTTTTTCCTTGTATCTGTGTCTCTGTATTTTCATGTGGCATTCTCTTTTCTGTGTGTCAATGTCCAAATTCCCCCTTTTAAAGACACTAATCATTGAATATAGGCTCACCCTAATCAAAAACAAATATGACATTATCTTAACTTGACTACATTTGCAAAGACTATTTCAAAATAAGGTCACAGGTACTAGGGGTTAGAACTTGAACATGTCTCTTTGGGGGACAAAATTCAACCCATAACAGTGATATTCTCATAAAAATGCATAACCTGAATATTATTGTAAGGAAACATCAGAGTAACCCAAACTGATAATTCAGGGGTATTCTACAAAACAAATAGCAAGTTTTTTTTCTAAAGTGTCAAGGTCATGAGAGACAATGAATGAGAAATTGCTCCAGATTAGAGGAGATTAAAAAGAAATTACAAATAAATGGAATGTGAAACCTTAGACTGATTTCTGTTCCTAAAAAATAAGACTTTATTGGAACAATTGATGAAATTCAAATATGACCTGTTGATAGTATTCTATCAATGTCAACTTCTTGCACAAATTCTCAACAAAATCCTAGCAAACAAAATTCAGGTACTTATCAAAAAAATAATTCATCATGACCAAGTGGGCTTCATCCCAGAGATGCAAAGATGGTTCAACATATGCAAATCTATAAATATAATTCATCACATAAATAGAATGAAAAACAAGTACCATATGATCCTCTCAACAGATGCAGAAAAAGCATTCAACAAAATTCTACACCCTTTTATGATAAGAAGGCTTAACAAAATAGGCATAGATGGGACTTACCTAAACATCCATATCATTTTAAAATGAAGTCCTCAAGCTATCCCTTATAACTTTTAAATCTCTCCTATGTCTGTATTTTGGCAGTTTAAAAGATCAGCCTTTTATTTTGAGTAGTCTCTGTTGCAGGTGGAAGCTAGGTAGGCCAGGAGGTTGTTCTCAATTCAGTTCTATTTACCTCAGGTATCAAACATATTGCCTCTACAACAAACCTCTTAGACTTGATTTTACACACACACACACACACACACAGATAGACAGATAATATTTTTCTAACTCTTTTAAGGTGCTTTAATGGGGAGTTTGGAGAGAATGTATTGGGGGCTGCTAGCCAAATGTCAGTTTGAGCAGTAACTAGAACAATCTGATATAAGTGATTGCACTAAGCAGTATTTGGGCAACAGAAAACCTTTGGCACAACCTTTCAGATGTTAATCAGAGCAGCTTACAATTTATAGCTACAAACAGAAGTGGAAGAGAAGGAAACATTTCAGTGCCTTCAAAATAGGGGTAAAAATCAACTCATATTGGAGGGAAGTTTTTATCATTAAAAAACAAATTTATAATTAATGTGGAATATTATTCAGCATATTATTTCCCCAGTGTTTCTCTCTTTACGAATAACTATTCTGGACAGAAATAGTACTTATCCATAAGTTGCTCTGTTCCTGAAAAATCTAAAATCAGCACTTTAAAAAGAAAATATGTATGGTTACAGAAAAATGGAAGCCTGGTTGCCTTTAATTAAAATGGACATATTTCTACTAGCCATTTGAAACCTGTACTTTCGCTCTTGTAGGTAAAATCCTGAATCTCCTGCCTAGTGACTCTGTGGATTCTATGACCCGGATGGTTCTGGTGAATGCCCTTTACTTTAAAGGAACCTGGGAACATCAATTCTCAGCGCAAAACACCACAGAAAAGCATTTTAGAATAAACAAGGTAGGAGACTTTTAAAGATCAGTTTGGATTTTCACATGGCATTGTAAAAGAAATTCTGTTTTAAATTCACTCTTCTATTTGGTTGCATGTTTTTGTAAACAGAGGCTCTTACTAGGAAAGAGATGCCTGGTTTAAAAGCCTCCAGCTAGCTCTTATCCCACCTGAAAATTCCCCTATCATTGTTGTTCTCTGAATATAGATTACTCATATAATGTTATCACTCAGAACTCACTACAGCCATGTGAGCTGGGTAGAGTGGTTTTTATACTTGTTTCCTGGGTGAGAAATACAGTGTGGTCAATGGACTGGAGGCATCCCTGAGTCAGAAGCATTTCAGAACCGGAACCTAAATTTTGTTCACTATAGAAGTTTTGTTCTTGTTCTACTAAACTAATACTGTCTTCCACCAAATTCTTACTCTTACATAAGTAAAAGACATAAACAATTTAAACCTTACCTTGCTCATTAAGATTTCTCTCTACATTAGGAAACAACACACTTATTCTATGCCAAGTAATAGGAGTTCACTACTGCAAAAATGGAAACTAATGTAAGGTTAAATGTGTATCTCTCATGGATTCCATGGGCTACAGTGTGACTGGGTTTTGGGACATGCATGGAAACAAGAACTCAAATGTTACCAGAATTTTTTCTCTACCTTCCAACTCTGTTCCTCCCATCCTTCTTCTCCCAAGCTGAAGTCTAACTTTCTCTGCTTCCCAATTCATAATGGTAGAGCATGAATATTCATTCATGATACCATCTCCATTCTAGAGACCAGTTTCATAAATCCTATTCCAAATTCCTAGGGAAGGGACTGGTTGGCCAAGGTATTTAGAATTGTTTAGTCCAGACATGGGCCACAGAATACAAACAGTGCTGCCAAGGACCCGTTGCTATAATTGTGTGGCTGTGTGCAATAGGCATATCTCAGTGGGGTGAGGATGAGGAATGAACTGAACACATAATCAAATAGGCTAAGGAGAAATGAGCTGGACAGTTCCCTGGGTAGGCATATTCACCAGGAATTTTTAGTTGCAAGTAATAAAAGAGCATCTCAAACCAGCAAAATGGGAATTATATATCTAAGTTAGCTTATGTAATTTAGAGGAACTAGGAAGTCCAGGAGTGAGTGAATGAGGTCTCTAGCATCTCAAATCATAGTCCCAATTCTCTCTCTTTCTCTCTCTCTCTCTCTTTTGTTTTCTTTCTCCCTTCCGCCCTCCTCCTCTGGTTGTTACTCTCATTCTCTAATAATTAAGATGGAATTTATCCACATGACCAAGAAATATGTTTGCCCTATATTAGGCCTTCCAGCTTCACAGCCCTAGTACACAAAGTCTTTGCTGTTAGCTCTAACACAATGACTCCAAGGAAGATTCTGGTTGGTGCCATCCATGGGCTTTCCCCAGAATCAATCATTGTGTCCTGGAGTCTTTCTGGTAAATAGCCTTGGTCATGTGGCTACCACCTTAGCATATGTGCAGGGCTTTGAGACTGACATTCAGCTCCACATAGAATGGAAAAATAACATATATCTACATCTTATTGCAGGGTTTTTTGGGTTTTTTTGGCAATTGGTTTTAGTTAAACATAGACTTTATTTTTAAGAGCATTTTTAGTTTACAGAAAATTGTACAGAAAGTACACAGTTCTCATATGTCTCCCTCTCAACACATACACAAACTTTCCCTTGTTATAATATTAATATCTTGCAGTGGTGTGATACATTTGTTATAATTGATAAGCTAATACTGATACATTATTATTAACTAAAATCCATACTTTACTTTCAGGTTCACTTTTGGTATTGTATAGTTCTACAGGTTTTGACAGATGCATAATGTCATGGAGCCACCATTACAGAATCATTCAGAATAGTTTCACTGCCCTAAAAATGCCCTGTGCTCAACCTATTCATCCCTTCCGCTAAATATCTGATAACCCCTGATCTTTTTTTGTTTCTATAGTTTTGACTTTTCTGGAATGTCATATAGTTGGAATCATACAGTATGTAGCCTTTTCAGGCTGACTGCTTTCACTTAGCAGTATACATTTAAGGTTCCTTCATGTCTTTTCATGGCTTGATGGATTTTATTTTTTTGTTTTATTGCTGAATAATATTCTATTGTATGGATGTACCATAGTTTGTTTATCCATTCACCTGTTGAAGCACATCTTGGTTCCTTCTATTTTTTGGTAATAATGAAAAAGGTTTACATAAACACTTGCGTACAAGTTTTTGTGTGGACACAAATTTTTAACACATTTAGGTAAATACCTAGGAGCACAATTGCTGGATTTTAGGATAAGACTATGTTTAGTTTAGCAAGAAATTGCAAACTTCCAAAGTGGCCATACCATTTTGCCTCCCATTGGCATCAATATCAATGACAGTTCCTGTTGCTCCACATCCTTGGCAGCATTTGGTGCTGTCAGTGTTTCAGATTTTAGCTCTTCTGATAGGTGTGTGTAATGACATATGATTGAGCAATTTTCATATGCTATCTGTCTTCTTTGGTGAAGTATTGTTTCAGATATTTTGCCCATTTTTAAAATTGGATCATTTGTTTTATCATTGTTGAGTTTTAAGAATTCTTTGTATATTTTGAATACCAGTCTTTTATCAGATAAATGTTTTGCAAATATTTTCTCCTAGTATGTTGCTTGACTTTTCATTCTCTTAGTGAATTCCAGTTTTTATGATACTAAAATAGTATGCTTTCTCAAATGTTTTCATGTGAAATATATTTTACTCAGTTTCTGGATCATTGCCATTTATGTAGTTTCAGTTTCTGGATCATTGCCATTTATGTAGTTTCATAAGAATATATATTCTTTTAAGTGTTTGGTAGATTCTACCATGCCATGATTCATAGAGGTTGCCACAACAATGTTAGAGAAAGAAACTCACATAGCCTATATGTATAATATTATTCAGTGGAATACATATTTCCAGAAAGGAAGGTCTGGATAACTTTATTCAGCATTTAGCAGAGGATTATCAATTTCACCAGGGTCCAAGATAACCGAGAATACATGATGGTAAAGAATTAAGGATTACTGGGGCATCTCTTCAATGACTTTGGTATTTATTTTTTATAGACTACAAGCAAACCAGTGCAAATGATGTACATGAAAGAAAAACTTCAAGTTTTTCACATAGAAAAGCCACAAGCCACAGGCCTTCAACTCTACTATGAGAGCCGTGATGTCAGCCTCCTTATACTACTGCCAGAAGACATCAATGGCCTGGAACAGGTAAATACATCAGCTGACTGATGTGAGGGAGGTGCCAGTATTTACCCCTACGTTTTACTGGGAGAAACATAAGGGCATAGTGTGCCTCTTCTTTAATTCCTATTTAGGAAGCCATGTAACATACTTTAAGCTCTAGGTAATTTACCTTCACAATATCATTTAAACTGTATAAAGCTCTAGTAAGTCGGCCGGGCCCGGTGGCTCACGCTTGTAATCCTAGCACTCTGGGAGGCCGAGGCGGGCGGATTGCTCAAGGTCAGGAGTTCAAAACCAGCCTGAGCGAGACCCCGTCTCTACTATAAAAAATGGAAAGAAATTAATTGGCCAACTAATACATACATATACATATATATATATATGTATATATATATACATATATATATATGTAAAAATTAGCCAGGCATGGTGGTGTGTGCCTGTAGTCCCAGCTACTCAGGAGGCTGAGGCAGTAGGATCACTTGAGCCCAGGAGTTTGAGGTTGCTGTGAGCTAGGCTGACGCCACGGCACTCACTCTAGCCTGGGCAACAAAGCGAGACTCTGTCACAAAAACAACAACAACAACAACAACAACAACAACAACAAAAAACTCTAGTAAGTCAACATTACTATTCCTCAGGAAGGTTAAGTGATGTATAGACAGCTCTAGCATGAGGTGGTCACACAAACAGCCACATGTACAACAGATACAGATATTCTTTGTCAGTCACAAAACTGTTCAAAACTGTGTGCATTGATTATAACAATATTTCAGTCCGTTCAGGACACAGACGCACACATTTAGCCATCTTCCAAAACTTATTTTTGAAACATTTTTATCAAGTGAACAACCTTTATGAGAAAAAGTCTTTGTCAATACTATCTTTAAGTATTATTTAAGGTGTTTATCATCCAGATTTCTATCAAAGCTGACATAACTTTGGTCAGACCATGTTTCTGAGCAATTTGCATGCCTACACTGAACATTAGTCTCTCATACAAAGGTCTTTCTTTGCACAGTGCCTAATTTTTCGTATGTGCCAGACTTAATACTTAGAGGTTTCCAGGCCCTACTAGTATGTAGAAAAGACTTCCAAACTGCATCATAAAATTTGTGGAACTGAGAGCATGGTAAAAATAAGACTAGTGTGGGCAAATAGCCATTAGAGTCATGCCCTTACAAGGCCCTCTTCTTAGGAGTGCAGGTCCAGATCTGAAGATACTTTTATATTATTAATGTAAATATTTCACAAGTATTTCATTGACAGCCAAAGCTTCAGTCTAGAAAACTCTCAATGTAGCAAATGCATGTGCTTTGAAACAAATGTGTTATTTTAAAAAATCATATTTATATACATATATACATACATAGTATATATACATATATATTATTTAATAGTTTTAAAATATAAAGAGGACAAAAAGCACCCTCAAACTCACTATAAAAATCATTACTATTAAGAGTTGGGAGCTTTCTTTTCTTTATTTGTTTTGGCATAGTATACAGTTATTAATTTTATATTGTTGTGGTTATAGAGTATAGACATTTGATTTTATACCAGAGTTTGGTTTCAAAGAACTATCTCCCATGTTGATAAAACTAATTTTTTGTGCCCTGGCATACAACTTGAACTAGAGATATGCTTTTGTGTAGACAAAATCTAAATGTATACTTACACTGATGTATTTGAATATAGAGTTTATGTCTTGCATACTATTGTAGAAGTACTTCCATTTTGAATCAAAGTCTAATTCTCCTATATCCTGAGAGCTATTAATCTGCAAAACAAAAATCCTGAAGGTCAACAGTGTGAAGGATCTGATTGCACAATCAAAGGATTTCCACATGTGTTTTGTTACCCTAGGTAATGGAAGTGATTATAATTCATATATGTTATTTCCAGGCCATCTCACTCAACCACTATTTCTCACTGCACTTTGGAATTAATGATTCTTTCTTCCTTGATTCCAAACTTGCAGCTGGAAAAGGTCATCACCCATGAGAAGTTGAATGAGTGGACCAGGGAAGACATGATGGAATTGTATGAAGTGCAACTGCATTTTCCCAAGTTCAAGCTGGAAGAGAGTTATGATCTCAAGTCAACCCTGAGCAGTATGGGAATGAGTGATGCCTTTGACCAGAGCAAAGCTGATTTCTCTGGAATGTCTTTGGAGAGAAATCTGTATCTGTCCAATGTTTTCCACAAGGCTTTTGTGGAAATAAATGAACAAGGTACTGAGGCTGCAGCTGGCACAGGAAGTGAGATAGGTCTACGAATTAGACTCCCCTCCATTGAATTAAATGTAGATCACCCGTTCCTCTTCCTCATCAGACACAATAAGACCAATAGCATTCTCTTTTATGGAAGATTCTGCTCCCCCTAAATTCTGCATCTCACTCATCGAACAGGACCAACTTACGGTGTGAAAAATACATTCATAAGATGGAAAAGCAAAATTTTCACAAAGATAAGTCTATAGAATAGAACTTTTTCATGTTTGAATATAAGTAAATAAATCTTGAAATGATGCATTTTAGTGATCCTGTCATGTCTGTTCAGCTAGAATGACAATTTTTATTTATTTTTATTTTTTTATTATTTTTTATTTGTTTATTAGCATGCTATGATGTAGTCACAGCAGATTTTTATTTATTTTTTGTGTTTATTTGGATTATTTTATTTATTTATTTATTTATTTTCTTTTATTTCATCATATTATGGAGGTACAAATATTGTTAGGGTTACAAATATTGCCCCTGCCCCCCCCTCCCCCCGATATGTCCAATCCCCTGTTGGTGTGCATCACACACGTTATGGAAGCATACACCCCTTTCCTCCTCCCCACTCCCGCCTGCCCACCACCTCTAGCCCTTCTTAGGGAGAGGCAAAGATATATAATGTAACCAAAACGTTAAAAAATAAGACAATTTTTATTTTTACCTTTTAAACAATATGTGTCTTAATGTGACTTTCATTTACATTTCAGAAATACTATGTCATTCAATTGAATGTCTGATAATTCTTAACATACTTGATCACTGTGTTATCATTGTCGCTTATCATATTTCACATGCATCATTTAGTGAAAAAATAGAAAGGAGATATGATATTGATAAACAAAAAGTTACTCAAGAAGAATATCATTTTGGTGGCTTATAAATTACCACTGTAAAATTAAATCCTTCTTTTCTACTGACTATTTAAAAATGCTTATATTGACATGAATGGAAAAGCTAGTGAAATCCATATGAAATGTGTAATTTAGTTAATAGTAATCAACCAATGTTATCTTAGTTTTGACAAATGTACCATGGTAATGTAAGTTGTTAGCACTAGGGGAAATTGTGTTAAGGGTATATGAGAATTCCCTGTATTATCTTGGCACATTTTCAAATTATGAATATTGATCATGAATCTAAAATCATTCCAAAAAAGATTTACTAAAAATAATTATTATGCATTGCTGAAATATTCAAAGTCAACATTCCACAGTAACTTAGTCCTCCCAATCTCTCCAGCACTAAGCAAGCAGGAAATTTCCCACTGATTCATGGTTTTTACATTGGAAGAAGTGAGATCAAGGTGGAAAACCAGCTTCCCAACCATCTTGGGTTCTGTGGCAGGAGACCTGTCTCTGCCTCAACCCATGGGGAGCACTGCTCCGGAGTGTCTGAAGGGAAAATATCCCCGAGGGCAGCCAGACACAAAGGGGATATGTGGAACTACCATCACTAGCCCTGGAAACTCTGCTTTGTAGCTTATCCAAAAGAGACACCAAATCAGAGTGGTTGTTCAGCAGCACCACGCCATAGGAGGTTGGTTCCATAGGTCCCCTACACACAAAGCCCTAGTTAGTCTTCCAACACTGCTTGAACATCCCTTTTGGTACCTCCAACACAGCGGGACCAGGAAGGGTTGTTTACTAGAACTGAGGCAAACCAGGGCTTAAGGCACCACCTAGTGGTAAAAAGAACACAGCAACTTAATGTCCCCCCCCCCCCCAAAAAAAAAGGCAGACTTATCAACAGGTAAATTCCAATCATCTCTAAGCAAACATATCTAATAAAAAACAAAACAAACCAGACCGGAAAGTATATATAAGACACTGATTAAAGAAATTGAACAGGACACAAAAAACAGAAAGATATTCTATGTTCATGGAGTGGAAGAATTAATATTGTTAAAATTATAATATTACCCAAAGCAATCTACAAATTCAATGCAATCCCTATCAAGGTACTAATGACATTTTTCACAAAAATAGAGTAACCATCCTAAGATATGTATGGAACCACAAAAGACCCCCCAATAGCCAAAGCAATGCTGTTTCAAAAAAAAAAAAAAGCTGAAAAAGCTGGAGGCATTACACTACCAAACTTCAGAATATACTACAAAGTTATAGTAAACAAATCAACATGGCACTGGCATAAAAACAGATATACAGACCATTGGAATAGAATAGAGAACCCAGATATAAATCAACACATATACAGCCAACTCATTTTCAACAAAGGCACCAAGAACATACAATAGGAAAATGACAGTCCTTCCAATAAATGGTGCTGTGAAAACTGGATTATTACATGCAAAAGAATGAAATTCGACCCGTAACTCTCACTCTAAACAAAGATCAAATAAAAATGGATTAAAGATTTAAATCTAAGACCTGAAATTATGAAACTACTAGAAGAAGACATTGGAGAAAAGCTCCACAACATTGGTCTGGGCAAAGATTTTTGTGCAAGACCTCAAAAGCGACAACCCATAGAATGAGAGAAAATATTACTTGCGAACTATCCATTTGACAAGGTATTAATGACCTGAACATATAAAGAGCTCAAATAACTCAATAGCCAAAAGGAAAAACTGATTTAAAAATGAGCACAGATCTGAAGAGAGATTTCAAAAAAGAAGACATATAAATGGCCAAAAATATATATGAAAAAAATGCTCAACATCACCAATCACCAGAGAAATGCAAACCAAAACCACAATGAGATATCTTCTCACTCCAGTTAAAATGGCTTTTATAAAAAAGATATAGGGAATAACAAATGCTGGCAAGGATGTGGAGAAAGGGGAACCCTAACATACTGTTGGTGGGAATGTAAATTAATACAGCTGCTTATGGAGAAAAGTATGGAGGTTCCTCAGCAAACTAAAAATAGAACTACCAGCAATTCCACTACTGGGTACATACTCAAAAGGAAAAAAAAATCAATGCATCAAAGATATATCTGCGCTTCCATATTTATTGCAGCACTATTCATAATAGCCAATATATGGAACAAGGCCAAGTGTTCATCGATGGATGGATGGATATAGAAAATGTGGTATATATACACACAGAATATTATTCAGCCATAAAAAGAATGAAATCCTGTCACTTGCAGCAACATGGATGCACAGGAGGTCATCATACTTAGTGAAATAAGCTAGAACAGAAAGACGAATATCCCATGTTTTCACTCATTTGTGGGAGCTAAAAGGCAGATTTCAGAAAGGCAGAGTAGATTGCAGGTTACTAGAGGCCAAGAAGGATAAGGGGGATGATAGAAGAAATAACACCCAGTGTTTGATAGATCAGTAGGGTGACTACAATTTACAATAATCTATTGTATATTTCAAAATAACTAGAAGAAAATAATTTGAATGCTTCTAGTATAAAGAAAAGACAAATATTTACGACAGTGGATATTCCAATAACCCCGATTTGGTCTTTACAAATTTTATGAGTATGTTAAATTATCACATGTACCCCAAAACTTTGTACATCTATTATGTATCAATTTAAAGAAATAAAAATCTAGTTAGCATTCTCTCCACCCACAGTCATCTGAGCCCTTCGGTTCCCCATGCCTGCTCCAAAACGGCGATCAGGGTTTTCATACTCATTTGTATGATTTATCAATGCCCTGGAATCTAATTCTTTTTTTTAATTTCTTTTTTATTTTAGCGTATTATGGGGGTACAAGTGTTAAGGTTACTTATATTGCCCATGCCCCTCTCTTCCCTCAAGTAAGAGCTTCAAGCATGTCCATCCCCCAAACGTTGCACATCTTACTCCTGGTTGTATACACCCATGCACTCCTCCCCCCTCCCCGCCTTGGAGTCTAATTCTTATCACTAGGTGATAGTGTAGGCTTGTTCATTTTTATTTTCTGTTCTGCAATGTGCAGCAGCTTAAATCCATGTACCAGGAATTGGCGCTTTTCTGGTCCCTGGAGTCATGATTCATAGCTCTTTAGGAGGACACATCAACTTGGAGGGGGAGGTTGGCGTAGTAGCGCTTTCTCATTGAAAATTCCCGCGGCGCATAGGGACTTCGTTTTATCCGCCTGTGCGTGTGCAGTGCTCAGCGCAGAAGGTACTGGACTGCGCCCCGCGAAACCCCCGCTGCCTGCAGGACCCGCCCTGCCCCTGCTGCCCAGGCGCCGCTGGGCTCCGGGTGGTACCCGGGCTAGGTCCGGGGACTTTGCCCGCCCCCCATCCAGTATCTGCCGCCCAGCGCGGCTCCGTCGTCTCTATCCCTGCCACTCGGACCCTGGCAGCAGAGCCCAGAATTTGGGGTAGGCGTCTGGCTTTGGGCGCTGCTCTCAAACAGGGGCATCAGGTTATGGGCTCCAGCGCCTAGGACAAGTCCGGGAGCCTGCGAAACCCGGCGAAGCGCTCAGCGCACCTTCCCGGGTTCCCCACGTGTCCACCCCACCCAGCTCCCCACGTGTCCCCGGGCTCCCCTTCTTACAGTGGTCGGGTTCTGGCTCTGACCTGGCTGGGGCCGGGGAAGGTTCGGGAGCGGGGCGGGGTGGGGAGGGGGTGAAGGGGGCGGGGTGGGGAGGGGGTGAAGGGAGCGGGGAGCTAGGAGATGAGCGAGAGCCAGGAAGCAGGTGCGGACAGTGACACCTCCCAACCCACCGTGGAGTTGGGTGGGCTTGGGGGGCTTCAAAAATAAGACACCTCTCATAGTTTTGGAGGCTGAGAAGTCCAAGATCAGGGTGCCAGCAGATTTGCTTTTTGGTGAAGGCTAACTTCCTGGCTTGCAAAAGGCCAGCTACCTTCTACAGCTGTGTCTCCATATGGCAGAGAATAATCTCTCTCTCTTCCTCTTCTTATAATGCCCTTAATCCCATTATGAGGGACTCACCCTCATAACATCATTTAACCCTAATTTACTTCCCTAATGTCCCATCTTCAAATACCATCATATTGGGGGTTACAACTTTAAGGTAAGAATTTAGTGGGGACATAATTCAGTCCATAGCGTATGTCCTGTGCTAAGTCTTTAGTTCTTTTATTGTCTACTCACTTCCAGCCTCAGGATAAGTTTCTCTTTTGCACCTGCTACTTCTCTTCTCATTAGAGTCTTTAAAAAAAAAAAAAAAACCATACCTTTTATTAGTTAGTCTTTATATTAGTTCTCCACTGTTCAAGTAACTGATGTGATTTCTGTCTCCAGTGGACCCTGACTGAAGCAACTGCATAGGCCTCTCACACAATATCAGAAAAGACTGTGGCAGAAGTCTGAAGTACAAATTGCAGGTCTATCCAACCCACCCTATCTTGAGTTAATGCATATTGTAGAAAAAAATGCTCCATTAAAAATGAAAACTCTAAGATAAATGCTGAACCAGACAGGGCACCAGAACTAGTATAAATGGGCACTGTCTCTGGAAAACCAGCTTGTGTATTCACCCTATTGATATGTCATATTCTAAGAGGATATCAAGAAATTCTGTTTCCCACCCATCTTTCCTATGTGTAGTACCTCCAAAGGAAAAAATATACTGAGAAGCCAAAGAGACCTCCCTAATTGCTACCCAACTCTTCATTACTTAATACTTCCAGATTGCATCCTTGGAATTAATGGAGAGAATGGCGATGCACTATTGTGGCACTAATGGCAGTTATCAGGTAATACCATATCAGCAGATTTTTTTTTCTAATAAATTCCTTGAATACAAAACCAGGCATACTAAGTAATGTAATGCTTTTCAAATTTAGGTCCACAGGATTCTACATATTCCTTGGCCAACAAGTGCCCCACAACACTCCTCTTTCATTGCTTGCTTTCGTTTTGAAATAATCTAGACATTCTAATATATACTTTGTATTAGTCCATTTTGTGTTGCTGCAAATGAATTTGGCTCGTGGTTCATGTACAAGAAACATGGCAACAGCATCTGCTTGGCTTTTGATGGGGGCTTTTGTGCTGTGTCAAAATGTGGCATGGGAAAGCAGAGGGGAAGTGGGCATGTGTGAAGAGGAGCCAAACAGAAGGAAGCTTGCTTTCTAAAACCTACATTTGGGGGATGGACTCATTCCATCGGAACTAGTAATAATTCTGTCTCACCACAATGAGAACTCCCTGACTTCCCTGAGAACAGCACCAAGCCTTCCATGAGGGATCTGCCATGACCCAAACACCTCTTCGAGGCCCACCACCACATCAGATGAAATCAGCAAAAAGTTGAAACTTGAACATATGGGTATAGCTGAAGCCACATAAGAAGAACATGTGATAGTATGAAAAGTACAGGCTTAGAATGGGAGAAAAGGAATCTGTAGACAAAGTGAAGGAACCAGGAAAGAAGGGTGCTCTGGACACCCTGGGAAGGCCAAAGACAAAAGGGCTCGAGGTTACCAACAAATAAAATAAGACCTGGCATATATCTTTTGGCTATGGCAATTAGAAGGTGATTGGTGACCTTGGTAATTTCAGAGAATGCTGGGGTGGAAGTCAAACTGCAGCAAATTGTGACTCAAAGGTGAAAAAAGACAACAGTTTATGTGTAAACTTTTTATTAAGAAACTTGACTGTGAACAGAAGGACGAAAAAGCAGGGCAGTAGTTACAAGTCTAAAAAGTAGTTTTCTTTTTTTAATCTGGTAGATATTGATCATATTAATGAGCTAAGAAGACTTTCCAAATGACTGAAGAGATTCAAGATATTGGAGCGAAGGTAACTTGAACATCCACGTCCTGAAAGGAGGAGGTCTACTTCTTAAAAGGGGTAGAAATATACAAGATCAGTTAAAGGGGACAGTTGGACACTCCTCCATAGTGGGAGCAAAGAGGAAACCGTAGAGGCACACGTGTTTCAGATTAATACCTTCTCTTTACCACCACCTATCTTGAGAATTAATCCCTGTGTGCTCTTTATCCCAATCATGGTCAAAGATGTGTCACAGCTGAGGCTCCTTTAAGATTTTCTAGAGTAAGAACCTTCTGAAAAGTAGGGGTCTAATATAAACTTGAGGCGGCAAGATAGCTCTTCAAAATTGCCTGTGATGCTCTAAACCTGAGTGTCTATGTCTACCTCTGATCCCTGTTTAGCCTTTCCAGTTCTTCTCTGGAAGCAGAATAGTACAAACTTCAGAATTGGGGATACTTGGGTTTGAACAGAAACTTGGCTCTTTGAACCTCTACACAGTCACTGAGAAGCACTGTTTCATAATGAACAGGGTTGACAGTAGCATCATGCCTTTGCTTCCAGCAAGGTATTGCAAAGGATGCATGCTACCAGATGGTATCACTGTGATTCTAAAAAATAACCTGGAAATTTAAATAAAAGAACTTTTATAATACTTTGTAATAAGCAGCACAGCAGCCATAAGTATCTTTTGAGAAACACTGAGGCTTGCTTACTATTTCATAAAAGAGTGCTTTTTAATTTTATTTTATTTATTTATTTTTTTTGAGAAAGAGTCTCACTCTGTTGCCTGGGCTAGAGTGCTGTGGCATCAGCCTAGCTCATAGCAACCACAAACTCTTGGGCTCAAGCGATCCTCCTGCTTCAGCCTCCTGAGTAGCTAGGACTACAGGCACTGCCACTGCGCTCATCTAATTTTTTCTATTTTTAGTTGTTTGGCTAGTTTCTTTCTATTCATAGTAGAGACGTGGTCAGGGTCTTGCTCTTGCTCAGGCTGGTCTCGAACTCCTGAACTCAAGCAATCCTCCCACCTTGGCCTCCCAAAGTGATAGGATTATGGGCATGAGCCACCTCGCCTGGCCAAAGAGTGCTTTAAAAGGGGAGTTAATTATGTATCTGCATATTTTTCTTTTGTAAAAGGCCCTTGTTCCAAATATGCTGACCTTTTCTGTGATGATAAGGGGCTAACAGTAGTGGAATACCTAAAAAATATTTTTGAAAAAATACAACTGATTGCAGGTAAAGGTCCGTCTTATCCATGAATGACAAATTAATTACTTTTTGAAAGAGTCTGCAGTGATCGTTTTAAGAACACCTCTTGGATATTTTCCTATAATTGTATAATTTTGTTGCTTAAAAAGATGTTAAAATTGTCATATATGGCTGCTTAAAAAACTTTGAAATGTAATTTCTAACCTTCATAAAAATATTACCGAAAGAAGAGATTTGGTTGGCTTCAAACTTAAAACTATAAAAAGTACAACACTAAAAAAAACTGGTTTGCAAGAACTGGTTTTCAAAAGGACAGATTTTTACTAGTTATATTTTAATGAAAACATCTTTAATTATTAGATTTATTTATTAAATTATTTATTTATTATTAGATTTTCAATATGCATTGAAAATCGTGTCAAGATTTAGTAAGTACAACCAATGCTGCCTTTACTCCATTTTCCATTTAAATCAACTCAGGAGGAGCCTTCTTCCTATGACAGATACAAATCCAAATTTAGAAATAAGCCAAACTTAAAAACCTGGTCTTGACTGTATTTCACAGCATTATACTAAGATAAAAGCAAACACACATGTATTCAATCACATTGTTCTTTCTAAATTTATGTGAGAACAGAAATGTGTATTTTTAATAAAAACCTTTTTCTTTCTCATTCTTTTAAATTTGTTTCATGTGTTTTATAGCATTGATAATATACTAGTATTTAGCACATTATCCCATATAAATCCACAGAGATCAACTGGGGATGTCCGTCAAAAATTGTGTTGATGGGTGTCCCGCCAGAACAGTTTGAAAACTGCTTACTTTAGCAACTTCAACCTCTGGTTTTGTTTTTAGCTGAATTTCAGAGTTAAGTTCCAACTTTGAAACTGCTCTTGCACACACGTACCAAACACGAATACTGCACATACTAACCCAGGAAAACAAACCGATCTATTGGGTAAAGCCTTCCACATCCACCCTCCCAGGAGGAGGCACCGGCCCCCTGTCTCCCCCGCGTCACCTCCAAGCCATCTGCAGAGGCCACCAGCCTGGGGCCAGTGCAAAAGGATGCCACGCGAGGCTCAGGCTCCTCCCAGGGTCCAGCACTGGGTATTCGGAGTCAACATTGCACAGGCCAGGCCAGGGCAATCAGACTGTTCTGAGTCATTTGCCCGGAAGCCTCGTCCTAGATCAATGCGGATGTGAAGCATCCACAAAGCAGGAATAGTAGCAGCAGCGGCAGCAGCAGGAATCTCCAGGTACCGGGCAGGGGAGGCGCGGGCGTCCTCAGTTCCCACCGGGATACCTCTTCCCTGGAGCTCTGGGGGAGCGCGGGAGAGAGGAAGGGGAGGGATGGAGACAGGGGCAGGAGCCAGAGGCAGGAAAGGGAGTACTAGGAGAAAGGCGGTGGGTAACCGGGAAGGCGAGCCGCGGGGAATGCGGGGGTCTCCCCGGCACCTGCCGCGTCAGGGGCCCCGAGCCCGGCGCTGCCAGGGCTCTGTGGTGTCGGCTGAGGGCCGCAGCCCGGGGGAAGCAGCGCGGCGCGGGGACCCGCCGGGGACCGGAGGCGGTCCGGGGAGGCCCTGTCCGTGCTCCGCCCGCGAGGCGCCTATGCCACTGCCCTGGGATTTGTCAACAGGGAGGCTCGGCGGGCGACATGAGCCTAGTGTTTTGAAGCCGAGATGCGTGGGCGAACGCAGAGCAGGGTGAGCCGGAGGCGGCCCGGGTGCGGAAGGAAGGCGGGGCGCGACCCGCGGCCTTCTGGGATTGCTGGGAGCCGGGGGCAGCTTCCGGGGAGGTGGTAAATGGCTTCCGCCTCCAGCACGCACGCCGTACCTGTGCGATCCAGCTCATTGGTTGTGCTGTCTCTCTCAATCTCTCTCCTCCCTCTTACCCTCCTCTGTTTTTGTCTTTTTGTGTCTTCCATATTTTCTTCTTCATTGGTTGCTTCCCCTCAACTTGAGGAAGAAAACAAAACTGCTTCTCCACTTACTTCCCCCTCACTGCGCAGCCGCAGCCACTCAAGTCTCCTTATTCAAATCAATCTCTCACTTTACGTGCTGCGCAGTTCTCTAGCTGCTGCCCTCTGCTGTGCGGAGGCTGCCCCAGGCCCAACCTGCCTCACCGAGGGCTGCTGTCCCTCCTCCGGCCACAGCCTCCCTGCTTGTCCTGGACGTGAGGGAGGATTCCTTCCCTTGGCCCCTGGCCGGGGCATACACTCCCTCCCAGTTCTCCCAGCACGTCCCTGATCTCTCGGTAGCAGACTCTTTGGTTCTTCCTTTTACTGTCTCCAAATATTGGAAATTCCCCAGAATTAGATGAATTTTTCTCTGTGCTTCCACTATACGTTCTGAGTAATTTCATCCATTCACTTAGAATCTCTGGGAATCGGGATGCTGATGACTCCCAGTCTCTGGTTCTAGAACGTCTCATCTCAAGTCCCTGCCTATGTTTACAAACATTCCTAGGCTTTGCGACAGGTTCAGCTGGTACGGCGTGTTCCACACACCTCAAGTGGAATGTTTCACCTTCCCCATTCCAAGCTGGCTCCTCATGGAAGATGCCTATGGTTCATGGCCCACCCTAAGTATGAATTTAGCTAGGAGCCTCAGGATGCTCCTTGACCCCTATAGCGCTCTGTCCCTCTGTGAGCAGTCACTCTGCCTGGCAGTTCCATCTCCCACTACTCTATTGCAGATGTTTCCTCTGCATTCAGCAGTCACTGGCCCATGGTAGGTGGTCCACCAACCAGTTCCCCAGTCTCTTTCCACACAAAATGGTGAGCATGCCATCTTTCTAAAACCACAACATACTCATGTAAGACAGTTTGTTTAAAAACCATGCATGGCCTTGCGGACCATGCTCAAGTTCAAACTCCTTAGCTTGGCATAAGGGGCCTATCCTGGCTAACTACTACGTCTGCTGATAGGAAACCACACCGGTCCACTCCCCTGGGCTCCAAGCAAACCATGCCCTTCCTGCCACATTCTTTGCACCTGCCAATTCCTCAGCTAAAAATTCACATCTTGAAATGATAGCCCAGGTTTCTATAAGGTTTAATAGACATAAACAAATAATTAATGATAATAGTTAATATTAAGCGTGAATAACTTTTTTACCACTTGGAGCAAGGTGTCTGCCTATATTAGGCTCCTCCCTCCCTCCCACAGGGACTGGTTAGTAGTATGCTACAACTGATGATTACATTTCAAAGGGATGGCTCCCAGGCCCTTGAGAAACATTTGTCCTGGAATGTAGAACTAACAAGAAGTCTTTAAAAATATTTGCATCTCAAAGGGACAGATAAAGAATTTACAATTACAAGTTTTCTAAACTAAATGCTTTAAGAAAAAGAAAAAGGCAGAAAGAAGCCTGTTTAGTTTGTTTATTTAGTCAAGTTTTAGCTTGATTACAATTTAGTCATTCTAAGGCCCTCTTGGCCAGGATGAATCCAAAATCAATACATTCAATCCAAAGTATTTACCAGATGACAAGATTTGGGCTTCATATTTTATATCCATGCCACGGGCTTTCTTTGCAGCTCCCCAACACACTTTCAGCAACACTTATGGAATATGGGGTATCTTTTTGAAGTCACCCTGAAAAGTAATATATATATTTTTGTCTTCCCAGTAACCCATATTTTTGGTCAGACTATCCCAAACAAACCCTCCAAATTTGGTGAAATCTCTCTATTTCTCAGGACATGATGGCAGAAATGTTTTTTATTTATAAAGAATTATTTATAATTCTTAGAATATTCTCTATAAATTACGTTAGAGACACCAAACTGAAAGAGAACTAGCAGCAACAGCAACAGCGGGTTTTGTATAATGGTCAACAATCAGGACTCTGGAATTGAACTGTGGTTCCAGTCATTGGTGACTACCTGAGGGATCTGGAATGAACTTAACTAGTAAACCTCACTGAGTCTTCTTATTCCTAAAGTGGGACAATAATTGCACTGACCTCAACGTGTTGTTGTTGGGGTTAAATGAAATGATACATGGAAAGTGCTGAGAATGGTGTCTGGCACCAAGATATCTTGGCCACGGTTTACAGTAAGGTGGGTGTACACAGCTGTCAAAGGGTGTCTGTGCTGCTGTTGCGAAGAGTGGTACCACCATGGCCCCTGGGATTGGCTGTTTTGCAAATAAACTAGTGATTTAGTTTCCTATTGTTGCTGTAATACTTTATGCATATTATATGCATAAATATTATGCATAATATTATGCGCTGTAATACTTTAGTGGCTGAAAACAACAAGAATTTATTATCATACAGTTCCAGAGGTGGTAAGTCCAAAATGGTACAGCAGAGCTGTGTGTTTTTGTTGTTGTTGTTGTTGTTGTTGTTGTTTGTTTTTCTGGAGACTCTAGGAGAAAAATCTATTTCCTTCCTTTTTCCAGATTCTAGAGGTGGCCTTATTCCTTGGTCAGTGTCCCCACATCACTCTGATCTTTGCTTCCATTGTCATGTTTCCTTCTCTGACTCTAACCCTCTTGCCTCCCTCTTGAAAGGACTCTTGTGATTCCATTAAGCCCACAAGGATATGCCAAGGTAATCTCCATATCTCAAGATACTTAATTCAATTGCATTTGCAAAGTCCCCATTGCCAAGTAAAATAATAGCCACAGACTTCGGGGATTAAGAGTTCTACTTTTGTGGGGTGCAGTTATTCTTCCTTCCACACATGATGTCTGCTGACTGCATGACTATGGGAAGGCTCAGCTGATGTACTTCTGTGTTATGCCTTTGACCCAGACCTTCCATGATGGATGATATCTGTGAAGCAAATGGCACTTTTGCCATCAACTTATTTAAAATGTTGGGGGAAGAGGACAACTGTCGAAATGTATTCTTCTCTCCTCTGAGCGTAACCTCTGCCTTGGCCATGGTCTTATTGGGGGCAGAAGGAAACACCGCAGCGCAGATGTCCCAGGTATGTGTGCCTGGCACAAAGAAAGAACACGCCATGCTCCTTTTGTGCTTCCATGAAGCAGGTTTTTCCATCCTTTCACTCCAGCTGGTGAAAGCCTGTGTGGCTGGCAGGCGGGAGGAGGGCCACCTTGGCGATTGAGAATGGGCAGACATGGGTAGAAAGGTGAATTGTGTAGGACATTTAATCTCTTCTAATGTTTATGGGAGAAATCAAGTTATAAAGTTATTTTCTCTAGGTAAAACCATCAATACATTCTGGCAAAATCACATCTTTGATAAGTAAGGCAAACTGTAAATCGTAATCTGGTCTGGAGAACTGTAAAATTGCAGAATGAGACATTTTTATTCCTGCTTTCTTTTGCATTCCCTGGGTCATATTAGATTCATCCCAGCTACCTCTTTTTTTTTCTGGTCTGCTTCCTCCTGAGTTACTGCACACGGCCTTGCTGGCCTGGATAGATCTGCTAGACCAGTGGTTTTCACCAGGTCCCAGGAGGTGGATTTTGCCTTCCTGGGAATGCCTGTAGAGAGTTGAAGAGTTTTAGTTCTCATACCTGAGGTGCTACTGACATCTAGTGGACAGAGACCAGAAATCCTGCAAAACATCCTAAAATGCACAGGACAGCCCATGCAAAGTATCCATCCACAAATGTCAACAGTGCCCAGGTTAAGAAACCCCACACTAGACAATTAAACCAAACTCCTTTTAATATAGTCACCTGTGTTATTTTTAGTACAGATATTTGTTTGGAGTTAGCCCTTTGGGGGAGTATTAATGGCAATGTTAAAAGCCAGAGTTGTTCTCTATTCCCAGGCACTTTGTTTGAATGAAGACGAAGATGTTCACCAAGGTTTCCAGTCGCTTCTCTCTGAAGTTAACAAAACTGGCACTCAGTACTCTCTTAGAATTGCCAACAGACTCTTTGGAGAAAAAACGTGTGATTTCCTTCCAGTAAGTAGTACTCAAATGCTGATGCAAAAGAAATGGAAAATAAGATAAAAACTGTAAAAGAAAGGAGTATACAACATAACTCTACTGCTTTAAAATGTGCTTAGAATTACATTTCTGCAATTATACTTTTAAATTTTATTATAGCTTCTGAATTATGTTCCTTTTAAATTGTTTCTGATACATCCCTTCATGATGTGAATGCCAATATGTCCGTTTTCCTCTACCCAGACTTGCTTCTTCCCCTCAATTCCCTATCCCTGAATGACCACATCATTCAGCATATTGTACAAAGTTCCTCCCCAATCCCACATCTGGTGTTGGAATGCTTCCTGCTAAGATGGGCTCTCAAGGTCTCCTAAATTCACTTCCTCCTCTGAATTACCACTGGCATTGTTTGGGCTCAAACTCTGGCTGTATCTTCTACATTATTATAAATTGCTTCTAATTAGTGTTTCCAAATTCAGCCTGGTCCTTTCCTTTGTCTCCTAAATCCACACTACTGACAGAAGAATAGTCTTTCTAAAATGAAAATCTGTTCATAAAGCTGAGGTTTTTAAATCTGGATAAATTCTATGCCCTGCAGCATACAACTTCAAAGTTCCCTAGTCCAGTCACAGCTTGCCATAAAGCATTGAGGTCCAAAAAATTATGCCACATAATATGCTGTCTTGAAATTGATGAAATGATATCAGAAAGCGTATCAATCTTAGTGGTTGGGAGTTCAGAGAGGTCTCATGTAAGACATTCCTGTCCCAGCCACTGTTGGGGCTGCCCTATGAATGTTGCCTGCTCTGGGCTTACCTACCTGTGGAGATGATTGTGGATCTCAGAAATCTCCTGGGTGGATCAATGTTCACTTTGAACATTAGCCTGATATTTGACTATTATAATAATGGGGACACAGGGAATCAATCACCACTATTCTCCATTGCTTGGCTCCTCCTTCCCCCTACAGCCTCTTTCTTTGGTAGAAATTAAAATATTTGAGAACAGGGAATGGTCAGAGGATGGGAGCCAATTGCCAGGCATATTATGTCTGAAGCCAGGTTTTTGTGGGTGAGTTATCTGGGTTTTAATGTATTAGGTACAGTCATTTTCTGATTATACTCCAGCTTACATTTCAAGGCTCATCCCCTGCCACTGTTTTTTCCCAAATCTTCTCCCTGACACACACCAACACGAAGACACACATGTGTACACATGAACATATGTAAAACATGCACATGCATGCACACAATCTATACACATTCATGCACATAGCACTTACATGTACATATGTGCACACACATGCACACATGCATGCATGCTCACACTCACACATGTACTCACTTGTACACACTGTCCACACTCATCACACTCCACCCCTGGAGCACCTTCCATGCTCCATACCCTCCCAATCAACCATGATGACCTAGGTCTAAAATACTGGGCCCTTCTTTGTCCACTTATAGATCTACACAGTTTCTTGGCAAACTAGTTCCCCTATGGAGCCTCTCAATTATTCAAAACATGTGTTTCAGACACTGTGGTTGGTGGTGATACAGAAATGAGTAAGAGAGTTAGACTGTATAGTAGGGGAAACAGAAAAACAAAGTCAAGTAAGACTGTTTGAAAGGGGCATTTCTTTGCTAGTTTGTGCATGGTTGGTGACAACCATGACATCTGGTAAGTGTCTGCATGTCTCTGCTGCCTTTCTCACCAGGCTCTGAGCCATCTCAAGCCAAGCGTGAGTAGGTGGCCCAGACATTTTTATTAATTGCATGAATGCGTTTAAGGTGTGACGTGACCTGTGCAAGAATTTATGATAGAAATGGCTAAGAGGGGAAAAAAATGTTTTCGTAGTTGTGGGAACCTTTGTCGAGTAAGACCAAACTCAATGTTTTGTGTTTGCAGACCTTTAAGGAATCCTGTCAGAAGTTCTATCAGGCAGAGCTGGAGGAACTGTCCTTTGCTAAAGATACTGAAGAATGTAGGAAACACATAAATGACTGGGTGACAGAAAGGACTGAAGGTAAGAGGTTTTTATTTCAGTGGACTTGGAATTACAATGGAATGAGGCTGGGATTGGCCGGGACCACTGGACCTCCACTGTGTTGCCACTGTGACTTGTTACCATGACCTGCTTGTATGTGTTTCCTGGGTTTTCAGGCCAGCGATGCAGATGCAGTCTGTTATTTATCTTGGGCTTATCAGCTTATGAAGCAGTGATTTTGAACAAATTCTTAAACCTAACGTTAAAATCTTCCCTCTGGTCTGTTCTGGAAAATCTTTGAAAAATGTTTCTTCTTGGGAGCCTTGTTTATTTTCTATCTTGGGGATCCTCCCATGCTCTGAGGCAGAATGACATTCAGTTAGGTTGCAGCTTAGATACGGCAGCATTTTGTGTCACCATAATATCTGCCTGTGATGATGCGAACTGCTCACCCGTTCAATCTGCCCCCTCTCCCTCCTTTGTAACTTGACCATAGCTACATTTTCTCTCACAGTGTAGCCTTTTCTGAAGGTGTAGCTAACATCCCCTACAACACCCCCTGTCTAGATCCCATTCTATCCCATCAGAAATATTTCTGCCAGTTTTTGCCTTGAGTATGGGGTGGAGGGAAGGAGCGTGATTTTAAGCCTTCTAAGTGCATAAAAAGTAATTTATATACTTCTAAAAAGTGGGGAAATTAAGTCACTTATTTCAAGTACAAACCAAGCAGTCATTGTTTCATCTACTTGATCTTTATGGTACATCTGCTGTGTGTTGGGCAGCAGCAATGCCCGTGTTTATACTGAAAGGTGATTATAAAATAATGACTTTGGAAAGGAAAAAGCCTTTCACGTTTTCCTACGTCATCTGTCCAGTGGCCTCTTACTTTCCAGTTGATCCAACAGTACTAAGTCACCTGAGGAACCTACAAGTTTCTGTATACTTTGCCCTTCTATACCCATGACTTCTCCTCCAGAGCTGCTTCCTTCCTTCCTTTAGGCTGACCACCTGCACTTTTACCCAGGACATTAGAGTTGGCAGGACCTTGAAGATCACCTTGTCCCCCCTTTCATTGGACAACTCAGCTTGGGCCCCTCCACCCGCCTAGCTCCTCTGCCCCAGTCACTCCTATCAGGCTGCCTGGCCCTTCCCAGTGACAGATCTGTGCTCTCCCATCTTCTTGGAGTCCCTCCTTATCCAAATGAGATCTGAAGATTGATATAGAGCAGTGATCCTCAACCAGGGGGTAAAGAGGGTGCCCTCCAGGTGATGCTGACAATGGCTGAAGATATTTTTGGCTGTCACAATTGAAGGAAGTGCTGCTGGTAAACATCCTATAATGCACAAGACAACCCCCATAATAAAGAATTATCTGGCTTAGATGCCAGTAGTGGTGTGGTTAAGATGTTATAGGGCCAAGGTTGAGAGCCCTGTAGTAAGAATCGAGACTCGTGGGTTATTTTCTCAGCTGAGCCACTTGCCACCTGTGTGGATTTCGCAAAATTCAGGCAAATGCTCTGATCCTGAATTTCTACATCCACAATTCAAGGCAAAATGATACTTGCCCTACCTACTTCAAGATTGTTGTTTAAGGGCATTAGGTACCCTGTGTATGACCACATTGCCAAACACCATCGCCCCAGTTCATCAGGTGGCCAGAAAGACGGGACCCAAACCTGACTCTTAACCAAGACTTGGCTTTATATATCAAGGGGATTTTTGCACAATAATGCTTATGCCCCCCACACCCCAAATGGCAATAAACTCTCATGTTCTTTACAGGTAAGATATCAGAGGTGCTGGCGGCTGGGACAGTTGATTCACTGACGAAGCTGGTCCTTGTGAACGCCATCTACTTCAAGGGAAAGTGGAATGAGCAGTTTGACAGCAAGTATACAAGGGGAATGCTCTTTAGAACCAAAAAGGTAGGGAAACATTTTTCAAATACACTGCTACTTTCTTAAAATAATAATATGGGAAAGAGTATGAGCAGAAAAAATAAAAATTTATTTTACACTATCTTGATTTTTAATCTATTCCCAAATGAATTTAATGCTCTCTCAATATCTTTAATTATAGTGAAGATGAGAGAAATGAAAATAATTTTTGTATTGATAGTTTTATTTTACCATCTTTGGTCAAATACATCTTCTATCTCTGGTCCTGTGATTTGGATTGGAGGAAAATTTCTTCTAAGCTTTAGAATTATGTTTGTGTTATACTATCACAGTTTATATTTACTTAGATACCTTTTTGCAGTGTTAGTGGAAACTATGCCTAATTATTGCCTTAAAATTCAAGGCTGTACAATTCTGAACACAAGAAAAAATGTTAGCAGATATTAAGACTAACTTTAAAAACACTTTTATGCATTCTGTTTTGAAAATGATAATGGTTGGAGGCCAATAGTTGTTAGCCTGGGATTTGACCTTCATCAACTTGATAATAATATATTGCATGAAGACGTGAAAGTTAAAAATACATTAGACTCAAGCTTGCACACGTTGTCAAGGTCCCCTCCCCAGAAAAATCAAGGCCATAAAACCAATTTCATAACTGGGAAACTTTTCAGAGTAAAAACATAACTCCCTTTGGCCTGAACATCTTTTCTATCTAAACAGATCCTTCAGCCCAAGGAACTGAATGTTAGTTAGTTAATTAATGCTCTGCTTGCTTTGGATAACTACTTTTTAATTATAAGGCCATGAGAATGCTTCTCTTTGAATCTTCTCAAAAACCAAATATAGTTTCTTCCAAAAATAATGTAGAAATTCATTTCCTTTTACATTGGCCAAGCTATTCCCTCTCACCTGATGATATTTGATCTGCTGGAATAATTGCATGTTCTATTTAATACTACGATGTACTAATGAACATTTTATATCTATCAGCATAAATGTGCAGAAATAATAATTAATATATGTGCCTGGGGGTTCTGTGAGTTAGATGTATCTTAGTTTTAGTAAACTGTGCTCATTGGTAATCTAATTTTGATTTCATATTTGTATTAGGAGAAAAAGACAGTGCAGATGATGTTTAAGCAAGCTAAATTTAAAATGGGGTATATAGAGGAGGTGCACACCCAGGTCCTGGAGCTGCCATACACAGAGGAGGAGCTGAGCATGGTCATCCTGCTTCCAGATGAAGATACCGATCTTGCTGTGGTGAGCCCTGGGTGATGAGTCTGAGTGTCTATAAAATCCAGCTGAGTTTGTCACTTTTGAGCTTATCTTACCAGATGGCATTTGAGGAGTTTCCAATTTGGAGTTATTACAATTAGTTCTGGGTGAACATTGCTGCATGTCTTTTGGTGAACATATGTATACATTTCTATATACAGAAATGTATATCTAGGAGTGGACAAGATTTGATGAAGTTAAGAAAAGAGATTTCCAAAATTATGAGAACGATATTCTTTATCTGCATAGAGGGGCCAGTTGAGGGCCCAATAATTATTGAACAAAAGACCTAAAAGAAGAGTGGTAATTGATCAGGGCAGTGCTTCTCAAACATTAATATTGGTATAAAATCCTGGGGATCTTGTTAAAATGCAGATCTTGAATTAGGGGAGTGTGGCCTAAGACTTTGCATTTCTATCAAGATTCCAGGTGATGCAGATTCTGCTGGTCTGTGGACCACACTCTGAATAGCAAGGGTCCAAAGTGCAAATGGGAAATTTACCTTAGACATGAGGAGAGAGAAGTCTTACCATGACAGAAAAGGAACAGAGTCCAAGAAGGGAGAAAATAAACTTGCAAGGTAGGAGATACAGAACCAATCATGTGCTAGTAAGCACCTCTCTGGGAAGTGGGGGAAGCCTTAGTTATAAAGTTTTCTGATTCCCATGGTGTAAATACTCCCACCATGGCTGACTTTAAGCTACCAAGCATTTAACAATCAATAGGAGCCAGCCCCAGCACATCAATGCACAGGATGTTGAGGGTGGAGCTGCCTAATTTCCCTGGTTTCTCTATGGAATCGGAAAGCTTTTGGCATGAATTGAGGATGATATGTGTCATGGCCACTTATGAAAGGAAAATTAGGAAAATCTTGAAACAGAGCCCAAGTCAAAACAACCGTCACTTGGGAGGAGTGCACACCTGGGCTCCAGTTGGTAAACGGAAGGAGAGATACAAGTGGAAATTCTCTCTCCTTTGTCTCCTTTTCCTTATGGATAAAGAGAATGAGTGATGCATCTTGGAAGATTTGAAGCTAACTCCAAGACAGGCAGAGGGCAAACAAGGATGCCAGAAGCAACAGTCTTGTTAAATTCCCCATTTCTGCTCTCCTCTCTCTTCTCATACCTCTTATAATGTTTGAGTGACACCTGGTCCTCCTGTATTCAACCCTGAGTAGCCCCTGGTTCAACTCAGAATCAGACTTCCAAGCCATGCTCTTTGTCTTTCTTTTGTGAAACAATCATGCCCACTCACAGTAATGTGTGCCACATGAATATTAATATAATCCGTTTGTTCAAATTTTCTAAACTGTTAACAAATGTTTTTCAACATTTGAAATGAGTTTGGTGCAGTTTGTTTTTATTAAAAATTTCTACCCATCTCAGGTATTTTCTAGCTCATCTACTCATATGCATAAGACAGGGAAAAGACAAGAATTTGGGGGAACATCTTGGTGTGTTCATAACAAACAATATCTGTGGGTTTTCTTGGACTAGAACTCACCATCTAGTTCCTTATTATGCGGGTGGGTGTATAATAAGTGGGTAGGTGGGTGCCAGGCTGTTGTCACCTACATTTTAAGATTTGGCTCTTATTCCAGGTAGAAGAAACACTTACATATGAGAAGTTCAGAGCCTGGACAAATCCAGAAAAGATGACGAAGAGTAAAGTTCAAGTTTTCCTTCCCAGACTAAAGCTGGAGGAGAGTTACGACTTGGAGTCTTACCTTCGAAGTTTAGGAATGATTGACGCTTTTGAAGAAGCCAAGGCTGACTTTTCTGGAATGTCAACTAAGAAGAACGTGCCTGTGTCCAAGGTTGCCCACAAGTGCTTTGTGGAGGTTAATGAGGAAGGCACAGAGGCGGCTGCGGCCACCGCAGTGGTCAGAAATTCCCGGTGCAGCAGACCAGAGCCAAGATTTTGTGTAGATCACCCTTTCCTTTTCTTCATTAGGCATCACAAAACCAACAGCATCTTGTTCTGCGGCAGGTTCTGTTCTCCGTAGAGTTGTGACTGCTGTACACATCCTCCTTTCCATTCTGCCTACCTTGCCTTAATTAAAATCTTATGTGACTAAATTGGTGGGGTGACTCGAGTGCCAGAATAAATCCTGTGCACCTGGGTAGATTGTGAATGTTTTTGCTGAAGATTCTAGAGCCACTGGGAATAACTGAGGCTTCAGATGTGTGGAGGTCAGGGCTTAGAAGGCAGTGCTGGTTTTGGAGTGTTTGGGGTGCCTCTCATTGCCTCTGCCCCTCACTTAAAGTCTGTGCCCATTGTTCATGGGCATCGTTAGGAGCATCTCAGGGCTTCACCAGCCAGCCCTTGATGCGCTCTTCCATCCTGCAGTGATCTCCAAGCTCTGCCCAGCACCACTGCCAGGTTCACCAGGGGACATGAGTGCCCAGGCCCCACTGCACACAAAGCCACAGGTAAACCCTACAGAGTGAACGCTGCGGTCATGCCATGCCTGACACTCAGCTGAGATGTGTCTCTTTTTCCATTAGCATCACACAGACAGCCTACATGTCCCTTATCTCATACAGTCCCTCATGAAAACAGCTGCTTCAGATCTTCTTTCCATAACCCACAGATACAAGTTCAATGGCTCCAAAGTGAGCTTCAGGACTGGGCTAAGAGGCAAATCTTTGAAATGCACACAGAAGGCCAAGGAATCTTCATAAAAAACAACTCTTGGAAACAAAGACCCCTCTAGTTAATCATATATACTTAGACATGGTTCACACATTTGCCTTGCTTAAGAAAGCACTTCCCTCTTCCCTATGTTATATTTTTCTGGCAAGAGAAAATTTGTATTGGGACAGCAACTTGGAAACTATAGAAAAGTATACAAAAAAATTTTGTCACCCACAATTCTAGCACTTAGCAAGTGTTGCTGTTAACAGTGACATACATCCTTCCCTATGCATGCAAATATAAATTTATAAGCACTTAGTACAAGTGCTTCTGTAGCTGATTTCTACCCTTACTTCCTTACTATAAACCTTCCTCAAGATCTTTCCAGGTTATCAATTTGATGTGTATAGTATTCCTATATGACGGTATTTCTATAATTCAATCTACTTTGAGACCGTTTGGATAATTATAATTATTGATATTATATATTATACTGTTTTGAATATCCTAAATATTTGCTCACATCCCTAATATTTTTATATAAATATTCCTAAAAATAGTACTGGATGGAAATTCAGCACATTTTGAGACATCTTGAAAATTGGTCTCCAGAAAGTTGCACTATTTACATGCCCCCTTACATTACCATGTACACCACCCTCATTGCTACCTGCCTTATTTCTGTTATGAGTTGAACTGAACAGTGATTACTCTTGATTCTATTTTTGATTTACAGTTATATGAACTATGCATATAACAGCTTTTACTTAAAATTTTAATTTATTTAAAACTTAAAATTAAAAATTAGAATGTATTCTCTGATAGGCCACATTCATTTCAGGGACTATGTTTTCTAAAGCAGAGTTGGTCAGAAATTAATCCACATAACTGAATAGTGTACATCTGTGAATGCTGGTCTCACTTCACTTCTAATTTTTTAAAATTCATGCTTTAATTGAGGTATAATTGATGAAGAATAACCTTCAGATGTACCATGTGTAATATGTACAATTTGATAAGTTCTGACACATGTATGCCCATGAAACAAACCATCACCACGTTCAAGATAATGAACATGTTTATCATACCCCAATTTCTTCTTGTATCTCTATAATTCCTTCTTATTCCTCCCTGCCCCATCTCAATCACTGTAGATTAAGTTGCATTTTCTAGAATGATAGTTATCACTCAATACAATTATTTTGAGATTTATCCATGTTGTCTATGTATCAATAGTTTATTCATTTTTATTGGCAAATAATATTTATTCGTATAGATGTATCATAAATTGTTTATCCATTTACCTTCTGATGAACATTTAGGTTGTTACCAAGATTTTGGCTATTGCAAATAAAGTTGTTATGAACATTTGTGTGTTTATATTTGTATGAACATATTTCTTCATTTCTCTTGGGTAGATACACAGGAGTGGAATGGCTGGGTCATAGGGAAGTTGAATGTTTAACTTTCTAGAATCTGCCAAATTGCTTTCCAAAGCGCTTGTATCATTTAACATTCCCAGTAGAATTTATGAGAGTTTCAGCTGTTCTGCATCCTCATCAATACTTGGTACTTCTACGTGGTACTTTTCACTTCTAGTCCTCTCCCTGTTCCTCCCCTTGGCTCTTGGGTCCATAAAATGGCAGGAGCCTTTTGTTTGGGGCTCCCCAGGCAGTGAGACAATTCCCTACCTATTCTTCCTTTACCTAGTGCTGTTCCATGGGGGTAAATAATGGCACCAAGCGCTGGGTGGCCTTTTGCTTCTCTGGTCCCAGTAAAGGAATAAAGACTTGAGTGTTACTTTCAGTGCAGCCCTGAAAGTGCTCCAGGCACTCTGTCTCTTCCTTCCTATCTCTCTGTCAAATCCACAAGGGATCAGGGTGATCAATTAAGCACAATGCCTTTTTAGAAAAGCAAAAAGCCAGAAGAAGTCCTTCAGGGCACTCATGGAGGTGCTAATAGATCATTTATTTGCAAGTCTGAGAGTGCTGCCAGCGCTTGCCAGGTCTCTGGGAAGTGCTAATAGATTGTTTACATAAACTTTTCAGTCCCACACTCTCCAGCCAAGCTCACCCCAGGCGTCAGGTTAGAGACCTGCCACAGGGCTGTAAGAAGGAGGGAGGCAGCCCCCTGCAGTCCCACAGCAACGCGGGGAGCTGAGCTGCTCCGGCCACTGTTGTCAGCGCTCAGCGGTCCCTGGTGCTAATGAACCAACTGAGGCACAGTGAGTCTCTGACAACCCTGCGACTTGTGCTTCCGGTGGAAAGGAGTGTAGAGCCCTCCCAGGTCACTTTACTCAGCGACCTTGAGCGATCTTGGTGACTGGGCCAGCTCGCCTCCAGGAGGAAGGCGGTAATCTTGCTGAGTTTAGGGAGGGAGCGCGGGCTGGTGGGGCGCCCTCCTTCAGAGAGCCCTCTTCTTCCTCAGCTAGGTACGACGTGGGATCCCACAGATTTGGAAGGTGTGGTACACTGCCACGAGTCCCCTGCCACTGAAAAACACGTCGGCACCACCCTCGCGGAGGCCGCAGCCGCCACCCTGTGGCCCCTGGGCCTGCAAAGAGGTTTCAAGGGGAGCAGAACACGAGACTGTTAACCAGACTCAGCTTTCGGGGCTTTTCACGGCACTCTTGCTGGTTATCAAGCCCAATTTAACTTCACCAGGTGAGCAAATAAGCCGGAGACACAATCGGGAGATTTTTAACACAGTACAAACGCAAGGAAAAAGCCGCTACTTCAAGAAAGCAACCATTGCAAAAAAAGCGGGGCAAAGATGCCCGTGGAGCGCCCTCTCCTGGACGATGCAGGCAGCGCACTCCGGAAGAGCGCTCTGGGCCCCGTTATTCAACAGACTGAGGTTTCCCCACTCAGGTTCCAGGCCCTGCCCCGCCCCCGCTCCCCCATCCCCCACGCCCGGCCCCGGCAGGAAGCAGGGCCTGCTTGGTGAGAGCCCCTATGACTAATTCAAGTGTTATCCCTTCTGTCCCTTCCAGTCAGAGATGGGTCAAAAGAGGCTCATCAACGTTTGCCCACACCTCTAGGCTTTTAAAAATAATAACACTTGGGGTTAGGTCAAGGTCCCTCTGTCCCCAAGGGGGACTAGAGGCCCTTGCCAAGGTCGGAGCTCAGTAGGGAGGTGCAGAAAATTGCACTTCTTGGGCATTTTGAATACCTGTGCCCAGGTGGCTCTGGTCACCACAGTCCCTGGCACCAGGATGATGGGGAAACAAAGCTCTCTGGTTTGGGTCTGAGACCACCACTACCTGCCCTGGCTCTGGGAGAGGACCTTTGGGCTCCTACAAATCTCATGTTCCGGCTACCACCACGGAATGTGTTCTTGGTACAGATGTGTTGTCTGTATGCAACCCCGCTGGCCGTCACATCCAGCCCTGATGGCAGTTGCTTCAATTAGGGCCATCTTAGTGGGACATGGGGAGGCTGCAAGCCTACCCAATTATTGTCACCTAGCCCACTGTCCCCCCAAACAATATCACCACCTATCTGCTGAGCTTAAGTGGGCCAAAGTTCCCCGTGAGACCATTTCTCCATAGATCTGTCTTGCTTGTGCACAAGGCCTTGGGTACCTAGAAATCACAACTTATTATTGGTGGCTCAGTGCTGTAGTGCCATCCTTCACATTGGCAGTACTAGACATTTTGGCTCTTACAGAAGCTACTGGAGGGAACTTGGTATGTAACAGTTGACATCATCAACGCCGCTTTCAGCATCCTTTGTCACCTGGATGACAAGGATCAACTTGCCTTTATGTGGAATGGGTTGCAATACACCTTTAATGTCCTTCCACAAAGCTACCTAAATTCCCCTCCTTTTACGGTTTCTGAGGAGTACTTCAGTGTAATTCTTATTCATGCTCTTCTAGAGGAAAGGTATTAAGGTACTTTTTTGATCCTCTGGCTACTGTAACAATTTTTCCCTTTGTGTTTGATTTTCTTCTGTTTGAAAAGGATATATGTAGTTTTAGGTCACAGCCAAATTTATACCTTAATATTAGTCTGTCTCCGAGTCCCGTTCAGCATCTCAGCCCATGATCATGACAGTTATACTTTTGTAGATCAACCAATAAATGGAGAGGTCACAGACTGGTGCACAACTGAAAGTCTAACAAAGACTTCATAAATGTATGCCAAGAATAAGCATCGTGTTATGGAAGCCAGGTTAGAGAGCCAACAAATGTATCACTCTGGTGTTCCTCCTCCTTCTTCCTGACCCACCATCCCCCTTTGAGATGGCTGGAGTTGCTTCACTTTTATAATACTTCTGCTTGACTCTCAGAATGCTGTGTGAGTGTGTGTTTTTGTGTGTGTGTGTGTGTGTGCGTGCGCGAGTGCACAACTGTGCATATGTCAGTCTCTTGGATTTATTCACCATGTTGTATTTTCCCCTAACCCCTGAGGGCTTGCTCTGTACCTTTCTTAACATCATGAGTTGAAAGTTTGCTCATTTTATTATTTCCTTGATAATATTGAAAACGATTCATGCTATGTTTTTACCTCAGAGCATATCTTTGGCCATATACTTTGGTTGGATATATATTGTTCCTATTTTGGTTATTTTAAAAATAGTCTGTTATATAGCTATTTAGAAGAATCTTTTAAACATTTATACTAATTATTTATTTAGAAGAGTATTTTAATTATTATGTAAACTAGTTATTTATTTAGAGGAGTGTTTTAAATATTTATTATCACCATTTCCATGTTGTTTTGCATTTTATTTGCATTGTTATTCATTTCAAGTTTACTACTTTGAGGTTGCGGAATACAATCTCCATACTTCTATATTTCAGAATTGATATTTTCTTAAGGCATAATGTATGATGAATTTTTAGAAATATTAAAATAACATTTTGTATTAGTCAGGGTTCTCCAGAGAAACAGAATGGATAGGACATATATAGATATATGAACTGTCAGCTCTCACATCTGTGGGTTCCAAATTTATGGATTCAATCAACCACTGATTGGAAATATTTGAAAAACACATGTATAGACATTTTTCTAGTCATTATTCCCCGAACAATCTATTAATAGTATAACAACTATTTGAATAGCATGTACATTGTTTTAAGTATTACAAGTAATCTAGAGATGATTTAAAGTATTTGGGATGATGTGCATAGGTTATATGTAAATACTATACTGTTTTATATCAGGGACTTGACCATCCATGGATTTTGGTATCCAATTGCAAAATATTTTGTTTGCAATTTTTTTTTTATACAAAAGAGAAATACTGGAACCAATCTTCCATGGATACTGAGGGACAACTCTGTGTGTGTGTGTGTGTTTATTATAAGATAATTGGCTCATGTAATTATGGAAGCCCAGAAGTCCCAAGATTTATCATCAGCAAGATGGAGATCCAGCAGAGCTTTGGTGTTGTTCCAGTTCAATCAACCAGGCAGGTGACGTTCCCTTTTACTCAGTCCTTTAGCTCCATGCAGTTCTTCAGTTGACTGGATGGGGACCACCCACATTAGAAAGGACAATATGCTTTCCTTGGTCTACAGATTCAAATGTCAATCTCATCCAGAAACACTCTCCCAGATGCACCCAGAATAATGATGGTCCAAATATGTTGTGTTATAATGTGACATGATGAGAACAAAAATTAGCGAAGAGAGATAAGACTAAATTATGTAAATTTATTGATAAAAAATGTAACTTCCCTATTAAAAGACAAAAATCTTTTAGATTGGAAATTAACAACAGTATTTTGTCAAATGTGGTTTTCAATTAGCATACCTCAGATAAAATGACATAAAATATGAATGTAAAATGATGGGCAAAGATATATCAGGCAAATTTAAACAAAAGGACAGCAGGTGTCAAGCTATTAATATAAAAAAAGTAGACTTTAAAGACATAAATTAAAATGGAGAAATGCTATCATTTTATATATAAAAGGGCACGATTCACAGTGAAGATAAAATTTAAGCATCAATGTGCCTCTTTCAATACTGGACAGATGAACATAAAAAATAATAAAAATTAATTCAAAAGCTCTATGTTACATTGTACTTCACATGAAGACCCATTTTTGTGCATCTTTACAATTCTGCAGCTAAGATATATTTTGATGTAATTGTCATTGTGCATACATGCAAGTATCTCATCATAGGTGCTTATATTGTTGTCACTTCAAGTTATTGTTTGTGCTGTACTTGTTTAGTAGAGTTGCCATTAATTTTTAAAGATTAGATTATTATTTGAGGTTTAAAAGATTATTGTGAATGTTGAAAATTATTGAAATGGAACAGTGGTGTGGAATTAGACATTAGAGAAGCAAATAATGTTTGGAGGAATGATTTAAATTTCCTATTTTCTTGCAAAGTAATAACCATGATTTACAGGGCCCAAGAAAGACAGACACTATCCCTACAAGTCAAAGAAACCATGCCATATTATTACCTATCATAAACCATGTGAAATAATGCCAACATCAAAACTGGCAGAGTGTCAGAAGCTTGCAAGAAAATCCCAGAGGCAACAATATTATATTTGGTAATATACAGAAGTGTTTGATAATTTCCATGGCCCAAAGTTCTTGATGGTTAAATAAGCAATATTGGGATTAAAAACATGCAAATGTATGATTTTAAGAGCCATAACTATTTAAAAGAGTGGTACTCTGAATGTGTCATAAAGTTATCTTGCAAATATTTAATTTTACATATGAACAAAAATAATGTATACTAAAATATGTGTCTAAAGACTTCTAAAAGAACTCTTTACATATTTATAAAATAAAAATTCAAGTGAAAGAAAATATGGTATCATATTCAATTGGCAGAGCTTTTATTTCTTTAGTAATACGTGAAATAATAATGCATTTTAGAGCTGACATCATTTTAGAATTGATGAAATGTGGCACCATTTATTTGATTATTTTTTCCCTTCCTATTTTACTGCATAGAAAGGATGCACATTGAGTGTTGGGCCCTTTGAACCTGATCATCCATGGCTCAACTTTTCTGTTTTTCATTCCTAAATCCAGAGAAAGGTCTTGAACTTCCATTGATTTTTTTTTTTTGTGTAGCAGTGTTTTAAATCTCACAAACATACTATTTTGCCTTTTGGTTATTCCTTTCTCCTGTCTGTGTGTATGCCCATGTGTGCATGTGTAATAACTTTGTGAATTAGCTAAGAATACGAATTGGAATTTATAATGTTCTCGTCTGAAATGCTTCTTTCAGAGTGAACCCTTCTGCATGCCAGTCTTGGTCCTTGTGTTAGAAACTGATGATGTTCTTCAAAGCTCCTTGTCAATTTCGACTGTCCATTCATATCTAGGAATGATAATTTTGATTATTGATGTTGGAGCTGGTTTATGTCACCTCTATTATTGTCTAAGTAGGACTATTTCCTCAATAGGCCTCTATCAACAAACATGTCAACCTGCATTCTGGCAAGCCTGCCCACTTTTTGCCATCTCTACTCTCCCTCTTCCTGACTTGATGCTCTCTCAAATTTCAGAACAAAATGATTTCTATGACTGGGCTCTAGCATCTTTTTCTCACAGGACAGATTTTAAAATGTATTTATAAAAATAGTTCACAATTTTACTTTTTCCCTCTAGGTAGCAGTTCTGGATTGCCAATCACTCTGCCAACAGTGGGATGGAGCCGTGGAGCCAATTGGAACCACTGCTGTCTGTCCTCCCTCCATCAGTGCCTGCTGACTCCTGCTACTGTCTGGGAATTCTGATTCCCACCAGTGCCCCATGCTTCAGCATATGCTCAGCTGCAAGTTCCTCCACCTTGATTTAGTCATCAATATTCTGCCATATATCTTATGACTTCCAGAAATCAACCCAAACCTGCTACCTGCCATTAAACTCCCTCCCATCCTTATTTTCACTGGTAGATTTCCTTTTTTCTCTTCTTTACAGTCATCACAGTAGGACATCACAATAGGCAAGCACATGTTATTTATCTACTATATGTACCAAAAGATTACTGTATTTAAAATGTCTACTTCCCTATGGTGGGGGTGAAGATTATAATAATGAACAAAAAGGATGCAAAACTATATTACAGGCGGTCCCAAGTGTTAGGAAAGGAACTAAAGAATGTTATGAAAGGGTAACCTGGATGACTTATTTAGATTAGCAATGAGGGAAGATCTCTTTGAGGAAATACTATTTATGATCTAAATTTTGAGCAAGGTGATGCTAATGGAAAGGGGTGTTCCAAAAAGAAGCAACAGCGTGTGCAAGTTCCTGATGGTGAAAGTTGGTTATTGAAGAAGAACAGAAACAGCGCTGATCTAGGATCAGAGTTGTGAACCAGAAGGGTGGTGGTGGCAAATAAAGTTGATGAGGCAGGAGATTTGTCATGAAAGTTGGGTTAAGCCATGAAAAATATTCATATTGAATTGTTAATGCTATTATCACCTTATAGAAGGATTTAAATTCAGAAGGAAAATTTGCAGTTTCTAAAGGTAATTTAGACTCCTATATGGAGTAGGCATCCTCAAACTATGGCCCGCAGGCCACATGCAGGTGTTTTTGCCCATTTGTTTTTTTACTTCAAAATAAGATATGTGCAGTGTGCATAGGAATTTGTTCATAGTTTTTTTTTTTTTTAAACTATAGTCTGGCCCTCCAACAGTCTGAGGGACAGAGAGCTGGCCCCTTGTTTAAAAAGTTTGAGCACCCCTGATATGGAGAATAAAATAAAAAGAGGTAAAAACAGAAACAAGAAGCCCAATAAGAAAAATATTTTAATAGTCTTGGCAAGAAATGAGGACTGTTCACACTTGAGTATTGGAGGAGTAGATGTAGAAAAGGGAATGTGTTAGAGACATATTTTAAAGAGAAAACATAGGCCCTGGTGTTGCAAGAATGTACCAGGATATGTGTGGGGGTGGTGAGGGTGCATAAAATTATAGAAGAATTTGAGATGTCCAAAAGGAATGGGAAAAGGTGCTTTTCCTGCTTGGGAGGAGGAGGAAGAGGCAGAGGTAGGAGATTTTCAGTGAAATAGGGGCCTAGGGTTCTACTTTGAAGTTGTTAAAATTGGGATTCCTGCAATATAAACATGTTTAAATTTCAAGAAGACAGCTTCATAGCTGGCCCTGTAGCTCTAGGGAGAGTTCCAGATGGACAAACGGCCCTGGGAATGCCTTGGAAAGCAGAGGACCTCGGAAGAGGAGAGAGTGAGTGGAAATCCTATCAGCAATCCTCCCTTGTGCCAATTTTCTCAGTCTTTTCATACCAGACTCTTCTCATATTGATGGTACTATTTTATAAATAATACATCTTGTTTTCTGTTGTATATGATAAATAGTTTCCACATGTTGTGTTTAGATTCTGCAGGAGATCACACTCAGATTATCTTTTTCTGAGTATTTTTGACACTGCTTCTTTCTTTCCCTTTGGCCTGAAGTTGTTTATCTCTATAGGCTCGGTGCCATTTAAATTTTTTTTTTACTTATTCTTGAAAAATGTGGGATCTGTATATCTAGAAAGTAGACTGAGTTACACAGTTCCAAGTCCCTTTGCCAATTTTTAAAAGGCTCATGGTCTGAATATCTCACCTATTATCTCATACTTAGAACCTCTTATACTAAACAGAATTTTAAAAAATCATTTATCTTCCCTTTCAGGCTTTTCTGTCTTTCCCCCTATTTATAATGTTTAATTATAACATTATATATTTAATTATATTATATATTTAATTATAACATTATAATGTTTAGTTCTGTGGTTTCGATTTCTAGGATGCACCATATTTTCTTCAGCCCTCCATACTTTTTGCCCATTATTCTTCTGGACTTTAGAGTGTTTTATCCCTGTCCCTGTTATCATACGTCAGACAGGCCTAACTGCAGAGGGCATCGTTCTGCACAGCTGTGAGAGTAGTGGTGAGGTGGGTGCCACAAGTGTGTGGCCCAATGCACACAGTGCAGAATGGATCAATGACAACAAGACAAACACCAGGCTCCAGCATCTGGTGAGCTTGAGCCCCAGTGCTGGTCAGGGCTGCCTTAGTAACTGGGCAATGGTGGATCTGTAGAGAGATTTCAGAGACTGGCTTCACCGAGGCAGAGAAGGCAGCTGCTAACAATTCCAAAGTCGCTAACTAGTTGTATGACCTTGAGCAAGTTACTTAAAGTTCTTTGGGCTCAGATTCTCCTCCTTTGAAACATGAAAGAGTTTGCCTGGATGATCCCTGAGTGGCTTCCAGCTCTGACGTTCTCTAACAAATGTGCAGCACAAGACTATTTTGGGCCATATGCTTTACTTTCTGCATTGAGATTTTTCATTACTTTGTAAGTTTTCTTATTTCAAAGATGACTTTCGTCGTTAGAAATCTAAGTTAGCTCTGGTGTGCTTGTTATGTCGATACCTTTTTCATTTCTGTTAAGGACTTTGATGATAGTTTCCAGTGAGAGCATGGCAAAATAAAATCATGTTTTCTGTTCTAACATTTGTTTCATCTTCATCTTTTGTCAGCGGAAATCTTGCTATTTGTCATTTCAACATTTTCCAGCGACATCTCTTTCCTCATCTGGGGCCTTTGAAGTTTCTCTCATTAGAATGAAGGCCTTTGCTAATAGTTCTCCAGGGCTGCTTCTTGTGCCAGTGAAAGGGTTGAAGCAAGCCTACTTAAGTGTTAAACAAGGTCTCTAGGCAATCTCCTTCTCCTCCTAATAAAAAGAGTGACATTCAATTAGAGAGCCAAGACTTGGAGGAAAACACTGCCACAGGGCTCAGGGGCTCAGTTTGCTTCACTGCCACTGTGTGGTAGAAAGCTTATTTATATTAGAGAGACCCTATATGCCTTTTTTCTGGGAAAGGGTCAGCAACCCAACAATCCCCTCCCTGGAAGAGGGCTGGAGGTCCAGGGCCTGGGTGCTAAGAGGAGAGCTGACCTGGTCATCCCATTCTGAGGAGCACAGAAGGTGACTAAAGCATGCCGAAAAGTCCTTCATCTGGGAGAGGCCTCGCTTAGCCAA